TTGTCTGATTATTTTGTTTCATCGTTTTTTTTGTGCCCGAAAATTGTTTTGCTTGCAAAAATAGGTGTAATATGAGTTGAAAACAATCTAGAATGAAACAAGCTAGAATTTTTCGTAGATCATCTTTAACTATTTGTGATCGGTGAGTGTTTTACGAATGAAGTCTAGAAACTATGGAAAAAAAATTAGTTTTGCGTCTTACTATTGCGTGTCGAGATAATTGCGGCGGTGATACTTAAAATGTTTCATTTGTTTCTAATTTTGAGACATAACTATTAATGATGGCAAAGACATCATTTGTGAAAATTGAGTTTACTCTTTTTGAGTTTTGATATGGACTACTTTTGATATTTTCTGTAAAAACTTTTGTGAAATCTAATTCTATATCATCTGTTTGTATTCGGTGTGGTGGTTGATTTGATGATTGCGGTGACCGAATTTCAATCGTATATAAGCCATAATGTGAAGTCATATTACTGATACCTGGCAGGTAGTGGTCAAGTGTATTTTTTAGTTTTTCTTTGATTCTTGTTTATATGGATTATTTCCTTTTTCAAATGAATTTAGGATTTGATTGTGGCAAAGTTGTACTTGTCCTCTAGCGTGATCGCTTTGTGGAGTAATGACAAAGGGAAGGATAGAATCATCGTCGAAACTAATATCGTTTTGAATCGTTTTTCGTGCGGAATTACGGTTAGTGTTTAGCTTTCAATATGTCTTATTCATCAAATGATTCCAATTCTAAAGTCTTACTGGTTTGCGAAGATATGAATTTTTTATTCTGCTATTATAGATGATGCTGTTGTGGATTATCATTTCGAAAAATATTTTTGATTTTCTACTGTTTTGTTTTTTAGTTGTTTCTTGGCTCTTGAGGTTCTGAATTAAAATAAACATTCTGGTATATTTTGAATTCAATTGGTGTTTCGTGTTCAGGTTCTAATGTAAGCATGTAAATAACTATTGTGTTTTGTGTTTCACTTTTGCCATCTGCGCTTTCACAGTGTATATGGTTTAGTTGCAATTCTGAAGTTTCCTAATTGTCAAAACCTGCAGGTCCTGGGCTTGTTTCATTTGTTGATTGTACTTGGTTGATTCGTCTTTGATGTATTGATGCACTACTTCTGTGGTTTACCTTTTGTTGATTTGAATATTGGGAGTTATTTCGATATGGTGACTGAAAATAATTTTTAATCTGTTTTGATAGTTGTTGTTTCTAAATCTAGAAATATCATAAAAGCTATGATTATAATCAATTTTGTACTGGTAATTAGAATAATTGTAGTTGTGTAATCTATTATTAGGGTAGCTTCGATTGCGATTTTTTGAATAACTTCAATTGCGTTTGTTTGAAAAAATTTTGAGTGGTCATCTTCAGAATGTTGTGGTTAGTTTCCTATGAATTGCTTGTTAGTTGGGTTTTCTGTTTTGAAAAATGGGAAATTTTCAGTTCTGTTGGTCTAAGGTTTCCTTTTATCGATAAAAATTACAGGTTGAGGTATTGGTTGCGGTGCCAGTTTAGTGTAATTGTGTTCTTGTGATTAATTTTTGTCGCATAGAGTGGTCTTGCAATTTGACTTCTTAAAATACTGATAACGAAAAATCGTAAATTTGAAATGCAAAGTTATTTTCAATTGAGTGTGTTTCCAACTGTTATTTCCGATTGAGTGTTTTTGCTTGTTAGTTGGTTGTTTTTAGTTATTGGTCTGTTTGTTTTAGTAATCCACATGTGGATGTTGATTATAATGCTGTTGTTGGAGAGGATTATAATTTTTATAGGTGGTGTTATAAGTGTTGGATGAATAGAAGTTTTTTGTTGTGTTCTTATCGGTAAGGTTTCAACTATTTCTTTGTTTACAGAGTGTGATGGAGTTTGAATATCTTGTTTTATAAGGTTCAGATTGTCGTTGAGGGTTTCTTGTATCTTGTTGAACGTTGAATTTAAACTATTGTTACTTGTCCTATGAGTAAATATTGCGTTATAATTTAAGGGTTTAGCGTTAGTTGTGAGTGGATTTATTCTTAGAAAATCACTTTGTACGGAAATAGTTGCAATTTGCTGCGCTTAAAAATCCTTTGAGTTGTTAAAAACAATACATGAGATCATTCAGGGTACCATAAATAATCTGTTTTGTCTGCTAATTTTGTTGCAGCGTTTGTTTGTGGTCCGAAATTTTTTTGGCTTGCACTTTTAACTATTTATGATCGGCGAGTGCTTTACGAATGAATTCTAGGAATTGTGAAAAAAATTAGTTTCGCGTCTTACTTTTGCGTGTCGAGATAATTGCGGCGGTGATACTTAAAATGTTTTATTTGTTGCTAATTTTGAGACATAACTATTAATGATGGCAAAAACATCATTTGTGAAAATTGAATTTACTCTTTATGAGTTTTGATATGGATTACTTTTGATATATTCCGTAAAAACTTTTGTGAAATCTACTTCTATATCATCTGTTTATATTCGGTGTGGTGGTTGATTTGATGATTGCGGTGACCAAATTTCAATCGTATATAAGCCGTAAGGTGAAGTAGTCATATTACTGATTGCTGGCAGGTAGTGGTCAAGTGTTTTTTTAAAGTTTTTTCTTTGAACCTGTATATGTGGACTATTTCCTTTTTCAAATAAATTTACGATTAGATTGTGGCAAAATTGTACTTGTCCTCTAGCGGGATCGCTTTGTGGATTAACAACAAAGGGAAGGATAGAATCATCGTCGAAATTAATATCGGTTTGAATAATTTTTTGTGCGGAATTACGGTTAGAGTGTAACTTTCAATATGGCTTATTCATTAATTGATTCCAATTGTAAACTCTTACTGGTTTGCGAAGATATGAATTTTTTATTCTGCGTTTACCTTTTATAGATGACGCTGTTGTGGATTATCATTCCTAAAAATATTTTTGATTTTCAACTGGTTTATTTTTGTTGTGGGTTGGATCTCGAAGGATTTGATTTTTTTGTACTTTTGTTGAGTCAGATTCCGAAAATTTTTGCTTAAGGATCTGTTTTTGTTTTGTGATGATTGTGCCTTCTTTTTGTTTGTTTTTTTTTTCGTTCTGATGTATCTTATCTTTTGTTTATTCGGTGTAATTAAAATTTCATATCTTTCTTCCTTAATTGGACAATTACGAAAATGATTTTTTTTGTTTCCTAGATTATCTCTTGACAGAAGTGTTAGAGTGATGGTAACAAAATCCAAGGTTAGGTTTTTATGTACTAAACTGCTAGTCATTTCATTTATTGTGAATTTATTTTAATCCTGGTAGATAGATTCTTAAGCATATTTGGTTTGGAACAGGAGTATATCAGTCGTTAGATTGATTTAATACTTTCTCGAGTGGTGAAGTTCTATAAGAAACTTATTCTTTCTTAGGTTGTGATTTGTGATCAAGGGTTAGAGAATAGTAAATCAATCCACAAGGTGCAGGTATAATTAGAACACAATTAGAACGTTAGATACTATTTTAAGTTTTACCAGTTTTAAGATATAATTTAGCCTGGGTCGATTAAAAGGAGGGGTTGAAGTGAAGGATGAGTAATCGAAGTTCTTCATTGTATTTCCTAATTAAAATGGTTAGTTAATTGAAAAATTTCAGTTAGTCCTGATCGTTTAAAAAGGCTGAAGAGTGAATCAATCTTTGACGTCGTTTGACACTTGAATTAAGAGGTGCGGAGAACAAAATTGTTTGAACTGATCCCAGGAAAGCCTTGATGATCAAGTGTTTCAAAATGATTTTAAAAAAAAAATATTTTAAAAATTGAAGGTTTAGGGATAGCCTTAATGATCTGGTTGAAATAAAATTTAAGTTGTTTAAAAACAAGGATAGGCCTTGACAAGATTTAAAACAAATGTTAACGTTTAAGAAAAGGTTAAATTTTTCAGAAAAGATTTGTTTAAAAATAAAGATTTAAATGATATTAGTTTTTTTGAGTGATTATGAGCTATAATTTTATATTTTAGATGAAGAATCAAATAAGCACAAGGGGTGAGAGGATGAGGATTTTCAGTTTAAAATTTTGATGAAACTAATTTAAATTTTTATAATTACTAGTTTTTGTAGTTTTTGTTCAATTAACTTTTAAATTAATAAAAAATTGAAAGTTAGTGAAGATTTGAAATAAATTGTTTTAAAGTTTTAGATCTATTGTCATTACATTATTTATTATTCCTCATACATCAATGAAAGATATATGTCTTGGAAAGGAATCTTAGTGCTCCAAGTAATTTATTTCATATTAGTGAACGAAAACCTACTGCATTGATAATCTTGAAAAGAAGTAGTCGTTGCAGTATGCTTTTTGGTTTCGCGACGTAGAAGCTCGTTTCGCTATTCGGGTTTTGACCTGGTGTAAGTTTGAATACTCGTTGGTATTGATTAGACTTATTGAGACGTGGAGGGGCGTTTTCAAAACTTCGGAACAATTTGTGTTACGTGTCTGGATTTTATATCTTATGTCTATTTGGAATTTGCTAAATGAAAATTTGGTGAGGTTTTCTTCGAGATTCTTGGTCGCACCGGATGAGTTCAATTCCGGAGTGGCTCACTCATAGAGTAATTTCAGATAAGGTACGCTGCCTGTTCGTCACGCTACCTTATTTTCGGCCGGATAGAATCCTGAAACTTCGTAGTCTAATATCGATCTTAATCTTAATCTTATATCTCCTAGTCTCAAAAGATCTAGTGTATACTGGTATTTGCGAGATAAGATATCAAGCACTGTTCTTGAGAAGAGCAGCTGCTTGCTAAGTTAAATTAATTCTGTTCTGGCTGAAACTACAAATATATTCAGCCTTACAAATTATTGTAAGTGTTAGTTATGGATCAAGATTGGTCAGTAAGAAATAGTATATAGAGATTATTTTTTCAATAATATAATCGGATATAAATACTATTTAAACTGGTTCCACAGGGGTACAACAGCTGTTTTTCTTTGAAAACTGAACAGCTTAAAAATGGGTCATTTCTTTTGTAGTGGAATGATGTTGATAGTTACCTCGAGACAAATAACTGCTCGTGATCTGTGCTTGAGAGGGATGAACTCCGAGTAGATGGTTATTCTGAACAGAACCTAATTTTCTAATTGTCATTCAGTGTGCATGTGGAGACACTTTGCACTATGAGCGTCTATTGTTTACTATCCCCTTATAGTACCCTGTAAAGTTATACCCGATCCCTATAAAAAACTTATTCACAACGATTAAACAGAAGCGAATGGTTGACTTGTAATGGATTGCCTTCTTTATTAGCAAAAGGGAGAGGGATGGTAAACAATGAGATGCTACACAAGAATGTGTTCTCTATTTTCTCTATTTCAACAACTCACGCTTGTGGAGCTCCAGCTACTCCCGCTCCGGTGAGGCCTCGGAGGATGAGGATCCAGTGGTAGCCAGGACTGAGGGATGCCAGAGTGCCAAAGTAGAGGGTGACAGAGGAGGAGAGCAGCAGACTCTGAACAGGCGGGTTCTTCTTATGCTAACATTTAACAATTTAGTGATCGCATCAAAATCAGCAGATTCTCTGCTTATAAACACAATTATTGATTTTATTAGCATTTTGCATTCTAAAGACGATATCCAGTGAAAACGTAACCAGCACAATCGCCCATTTGTTCAGAAATGAAAATGAGTGTAAGAAGAAACTAACGAATTTGCGTCCATATTTGTCGGCCACTTTTCCCCAGAATGTGGACCCAATCAGCATGCCCATGAACACTGTCTAAACACACTCTGTGCAATTAGTTACACATAGATAAATTGATCAATCAAACTATAAGTTATCCCGCAGATATAACTTATCTCTATTTGGTAGAGGTTGAATGAGTTGCTTATAAGTTTATCTTGCAACAGACAAAGATTATTTTGCAACCTTTACCTTCCTTCTATGCCTTATTGCCATGAGACCTAAAGGGGGGGGGGGGGGGGTTGAAGTGAAGTGAAGTGTGAAGTGTACTTACAACAGTGATGGCTGCCTCTTGGAATGCAGTCAACCTCCATTCACACCTGAGAGTAGAAGAGAGCACAGCCAGCAGCATCACTTCCATCGAGTCCACCACCCACGCCAAACCCAGCAGGCCAGTCAGCATCAGCTGGAAGCCACCGAAGCCCAGCTGGTCCACTGCATGGTCCACGGTGAAGGAGCCTATGGAGTCCACAGATGAGAGACAAGTGAACACAACACTACTTACATCCTATTTTAGCATTAACATATCATTTGTTTCAACATGAACACACCAATCGGACGCAACCACTTCAAAATGAACCATTGTGAAACAGCCATTGTCAGCTATTTAAAAACACTTGTCAAAAATATCTCAAATTCAAAAACGAGCAGCTAGAAAAAAAAAATTATCTATCAGAATAAATTGCCCAACTCCAACCAAAAATAGTACAAATATGACAGTAGCCCCTGTAAAAGCAAGTATGCAAGATGGGTCTCACAATTTATGAGAAGTATCTCAAAAACACAAGTATACGATCGCTCGCACTCTTTGCCAATATTTAAATTTCAAAAAGTTTTTCTAGGGACCCATCTAAATTAGGGGCCAACTTATTGTGGCCACATCCCTTAGGGGCCAAATTATTGTACTTGTACCCCAAAATTAATTACAATCAACGTGTTTAAACTCAACAATTATATCAAATAAAAGCCGGATTTTACCAAATTGGATAGTTAAAATAGGTTGTATCAGAAGTTGAAGAAACCGTTTTTTGTTGTCAGTTATTTTTTGTTCTATTGAACTTTTTTGAGACGTAGAAGGTGGAAGCTCTGATGGATCAGAAGTTGTCAGCGATCCAAGTTTAAAAATTAATAAGAGCTCTGTTAGAAAACAAGCGGGAAAAACCACTCGGTGCAATTAGCTTGTTTTCTAACAGAGCTCTTATTAATTTTTTTCTACCTAGCGCACTTCCCAATAAAAGTTGGACACAGTGTATTCACTGACAACTTCTGATCCAGCAGAGCTTCCACTCGGGGAAGCCAGAAAATATGGATGATAGATTATGCACCTAGCAGTGGTACGTGAGCTAAAACTGCTTGATCCACCAAACCCACCCTTCTTGAACGTAAGACGATCAACCAAGTATAACTGAAAAACTACCTATATCAGTCACTTTTTATTTGAGCTCAATATTCATACCCCAGCCTAATATAACCATTGTATCTTAAAAAATATATCTTGCGTTCTTTTGTTAGTAGTATTGTATCATGTCCCGCGTCCTAAGGGGGTCCGACCTACTTAGAATCATGCTAAGCTTAGCTTAACAACAAGGACACAATGCATAATTCTTTCTAACTCCAAACTCTAGAGTCCTAAGTATTGGTCCTAGTTAATTGAAAAAACTAAATTAATTGTTGTTTTTCTTTCAGACAAATGAACTTTTGACCTACCTGAAATTTTTTGGTGAAATTGAAATGCAATGTTATGGTATCGTCAAAATTTGCCGGCAGTTTTGGCAGCGTAGCTTAACTGTTGGCAGCAGCAAACTATTTCTTGAACATCTGCTTTGTTTTATGGTGGAAAGGAAGTATTTTGAAAACACTCTACAGAGGCGAGGGCCGCTTCTGAGCAAAGTTACAGCGAAGGGTAAGTTTCTCAAATTTTGAAATAAGAAAAATGAAGTTGAAGGGAACTTGGTGTACTAATGATTTTGACAATGAACACTTACAACTAATTTAAAAGTTCTCCTGAGACGAACGCTATCTTTTGTTTTCCGAAAGAAGAAAGGAAGTTTTGATGGGAAAAAGAAGAGGAAAAAGGAAAAGGGGAAGTGAAGATGGGGATAATGCGCAAAACTTTTATAAAATATTGATGCATGTTTATAAAAAAAGTTTTTCTGGTGGTTTTTTTGATGATTTACCGCCGGAATCTAGACAAGCTTAAAAGTACCTGAAAGCTACCTTCAATTTTCTTTGACTTGAGTTTTTGCAGGTTGGAGAGTTGTTGGAAAAAAACAGTGATATTGAGCAAAGCCGAGTTACTCCATTTGATTCAGAATTATTTAACGAAATTTATGCATCATTAAAACAGACTCATTTCGATTATACTAACCGAAGAAACTGCTTTCTAACTACTTGTTTTTTTGTTAACTCTAAATTGCGTAACTACGACGCTTTGATTGAGTTTAAACTTTATGGCAGCTCGGTTGAAATCAACAACTCTTCCTTGAACAAATACTTGAACGACGATTGCACGCTTTTTTGCAGGATACGGCCGGATTGAAACGTGAATTTATCAAGAAGGTTTAATGAGCCCTGGATCTATAACAACAGCTTTGCAGGACGTCTGAGCGTAATAGTTTTCTGTGCTTTCATTCAGTTGAAAAAACCAAGTCTATCATTAAATATCTTGAGCTGCACAATATCATGCAGTTACATATTGAAACTATTGATCTCGAAAAAACGTATGCCTACTCTTGCCAGGCAATTATTTGAAATTTTGAGACCTATCAGCATACTTTCACCAGTATTTTGGTAATTCATGTCCTTGACAACGATATCACGGTTTAGATAGCGCTGAGTCGAAGCATTCAAACACGTAATGATAATGATTTCTTGTTTGCCTGCGTGTTTGCAGACTTATAACTGCTTACTAGTTCACTCACTACTTACTCACTCATTTTTTACTTTTTGTAATTTGCTGACTTCCTTGATTACCTAATTTTACTTACTAGGTTACCTTTCGAACCTTACTGAAATTATATTTTTTTCTGAAATTTTTTTTGTTTATGATTCATCCTTGAATCACTTTACCTAACTCTACTTTTTAAATTTACTTTCTTGCTTTTTTTACTTTTTTTAACCTACTATATTTTATCTCACTCATTTTAATTTTTAATTATTAACAAATACACACACAAATTAACCTCCACACTAGCAGACAAACCACAATGCATACTTTTACTTTCTTTTACCTAACTTTAGTTTTCTACTTCGCCTAACTTACTTATACTATACTTTATCTTAAATATTTTTTATAATTTTGCTTTGTTAATTAATTAAATTTAATTTATTTTACATTTAACTTATTTACTCTCTATTTCAAATTTTTACCTTATTTCTTTTTACTTTCTGTACTTTACTTTACCTCCATTTACTTTACTTTTGTTTACTTTACCGAAATACAAACTGAGTTATTTACTTAGTTACTTACCTAATTAATCACTTGCTTACTTAGTTAGTTAATTAATCACTTACTCACTTACTTGCTTGCTTGCTTGCTTACTTACTTACCTGCTTACTCATTTATTTACTTAGCTTTTTAATTACGAACGAACATTTTACTTATTTACTTAATTGCTTACTTACTTACTTACTTGCTTACTCACTTACATACTTATCAATTTTCTTTTTTACTTATTTAAGTACTAACATATTTAGTTACTTACTTACTCCCAGGCTTAAATACATTCATTCTCACATACCTACATTCAATTATACACACACATCCATTCTTTCATGCCGACAAAAAATACATGCTGTTTACTTTTTTTATTTTACTGTGCTTTTTTCTTTACCTAAGCTTACTTTACTTTTTTCAAATTACCTTTGTTTTATTTTACCTTTATTTTATTTACCTGCATTTTTTTACGTACTATTTTACATACCTAGGTATTTTCTTATTTATTTGGGTACTTTGTTTCACGCTACTTTATTCTAGTTTAGAATACGCTTTTTTCATTTCGTTAAACTTTTCATTTGTTTAATTACTCCTTTTTTTCCTACTAAATTTGTTATCTTTACATTACTTCAGCTTCCTTTCTTTAATTTTGTTTTACTTTATACTTACTAACTTTGTTTCTTCCTTGCTCTGCGTACTTTTCCTCAGGTTACTTTATTCTAATTTAATTTAGACTATTTTGCTTCACTTTCAATTTGTGTTTATTTAGTTACTCACATTTTCTTTTTGAACTTCTTTGAATTACTTTACTAAAGCTTCTTCGTTTACTTTGATTTTATTTTATACTTATTTACCCTTACTTATCTACCTAATTTTAGTTTATTTTTTTTTACTTTACTTTACTTAGGGTTAGGGTTAGGTTATTGTTAGTCTGTGTGTTAACTTTATAAATCATGTGGTCGATTTATTTCGAATTTACAATTACCACACGGTAAAGAAGCCAAAAAACAATTGAGCAGAAACCCCAGATCAGGGGCGGATCTAGGATTTTCTCGAGGGGGGGGGGCGGATTTTTAAAAAAAATTCGAAAATTTTGACGACCTTTTTTTTAGGTCGACCAAATTGATTTTTCGAGCTCTCCCAAAGCATTGTTTTGCCCCTAGTTTGGCTAAATTTTCTGCACCGCAGGCAAAGTTTTGAAAAAACAGTCAAAAAAGCCGTTTTTGGGCACTTTTTGAAAAATTTTGACAAAAAAATCGTATTTTTTGGCGCGCGCTCCCCCTCAAAGTTAGTATTTATTGGCGCCTAAGGCGCCTTTAGAAAAATTTTAGGGTCGGTCGGCCAAAAATGGATTTCTGAAAAAGTATCAGAGGGGGGACCCTTTGGGTCGGCAGGGGGTCGAATCCCTGAGGAAGGAGCGTCTGCACCCCCCCCCCCCCCCCAAATCCGCCCCTGCCCCAGATGACGAAAAAAATTCAAAATACTTAAAAAAATTTGCAGTCCTCTTTTCTCTCATAACACACCCGCACACAAAATTTTTTTGGTCATCACAACGCAAAATGAGGCCACTGAGTCGATTAAAAAACCGAAACCAAATAAGCAGAAAAAAGAAAAGAATTTTATAAAATTAAATTTAAAAAATCGAAATTGCAAACTTACAACAAAGGTAAAAATCAAATTTCGAATTGACCGGATTTTTAAAATGATGAAACACCAAAAGCAGTAATAATGGAATTAGCTTACAACAAAAAAGAGATTTTTAGATGTTGCAACTAAACCAACAAAGCATAAACAGACAAAATTAGGCCGATATTTTATTTGAAACAAAAAATTTCCTTATAAAAAAGAGTAACAAGTTTCACAAAAAAATCAAATTGATCAACAGATCAACAATCTTACTTTCAAACGTGCAAATGCTTTTATGAGCGTTGAAACTCACATCTGAATAATTTGAGGAAAAATTGATTATATTGGACTTTTTTGTTTTTATCAAAAAAAATTAAAAATAATCGATTATGATTGATTTGCAATGGATTATAATGCTTTATACAATAAAAGCAATAGAATCAATTTTTGATTGATTATAATTGATTATTTTTCATTTTAAAGTCACTTACAACAAAACTTGAATTTACTTGTTTTTAATCTATGAAACTCAAATGCGTGGACCCACACAAGAGTCAAATAGGTCATAACTGATTTTTTTGTTTCTAACTTTCTAACAAGAAAACAATTATCTTTAGAAAGACAAAATGTTTTATCATGATTTTATATCAATCAAAGGCGAATCACGACAGTCCAACCCAAAACTTTTTGAAAAGAGTCAGTGGAAAAAGCAAACATTTGAAAAGTTTTATAGAAACTCAGAGACAAGCTAAGGCCAGTTTTGTCAGATTATTTAAAAAAACTAAAATTTTGCGACTGTGAAATTTTACTTTTGTAAATGCTTAATTTTTTTATCAGTCTGGTTCTCTCACGTTATTTATCGGTCTAAATTAGAGAAACTTTACAAAAACCCAAGCAAAAAAAACCGTCGCTGTGGCTAGTATCTTTCAAAAAAATCGTTCACAGAGCTGAAAATATTCGATTCAGCAAAAAAATCAATTCTTCTTGATAACAAAAAAAGATTTCAAAAAAAATTAACAGAGACGCTTAAACAAGCTGCAGAGAAATTTTTAACAACCAATGAAGACACATTTAGAGTAAAACAAAATATTCTGGATGAATTTATCAATGAAAAAAAATCTCTGACCCAATTATTGTTTGCAGCCATAAGAGGAAAAATAAAAAAAATGAAAAAAGTATGTTACCAGGCAACAGCGACGAAGTTTTCAAACGTTTTTAATCAAATATTCTAAGTTTTCAGAGCTCAAATTCTCAAAAAACACTCGGTACAGGAACAAAAAAGAACATATTGTTTTCATTTGAGCCATGTTTTCTTGAAACAAAAACTTATTAAAAAATAATTCAGAGTTTATTGATTTTTTCAACGTGTTTTGAAAAACTTATTATCTCGAATTACGTTTCCTAAGTATTGAAAACCTACTATGAAAAGAGGACATATGTTTTTGGTAACTTGGAAAGAAATTACCCAACGAAAACGTTTCGAATAGATTACTTCAGTGCTCAGTGTTAGATCCGCTACTTTTTTTAATTTGTAAACAATTTATTTTCTACTGAGGAAAAAAGTAATGTTTTTTTTTGTGTATACCAATGAGGTGAAAAATTAAGCTCAGTGTCGAATGTTTTCCAACGTCGGAGAAGCATATAAAACAGCTTAATGCAAAAAAAGTTGAAAAAAAACTCACTCTCATTACCAAAATAAGTATGTTTCAAAAACCAAATTAATTGGTGGTCGCTAAATAGCAATCATATCAAAAAATGGAATGGAATTGTTCATTGTGTAAACTCGTAGCAACGAAACTTAAAGCCTGTTATTTTTTACAAAAAAAACTTACTTGACCGTTATCCGTTCCTGTTCAAATTTAAAGACTTATTTTGGTTTTTTTTTTGAATTCATCAATTTTGTTGTTTTGTTTCCTTTTTGTTAGGTTAATTTTCCCTCGACATGGACTTTTTTTTACAAATCTTTTTTGAACTTTTTTCAGTTTCTGATTCATAAATTAGTTCTCCGCTGCTCAGAGACGTCTTAAAACGAACAAGAAGGTGACATCATTTAAATTAAAGATGACGGAAATGAATGTAAATGCTATTTTGTAAAAATCATTAATGTCATGTCAGCCTGAAAACATTTATCGTTATTTTTAGGTTCGGGGGCGGATTTGGGCGAGGGGCGGACGCTTCCTCCCCTCAGGGATAGGATTCGACCCCATTCGGAACTTAAGTGTCCCCCCTTATTACTATTTTGAGAAATCCATTTTTGGCAGACTGAACAAAAAAAGTTTAATGAAACTCTGAATAATAAAGGTTTGATGAAATTCTAATAGAATATCTCAGAACCTAAAAAATGTCTAAAAGCGCCTTTGGCGTATTATATACTAATTTTGACGGGGAGCGCGCGCCTTTTTTTGGATTATTTTTTCAAAAATTGAGAAAACTGTAAAATAGGGTCTTTATAATGAACACAGAGAGCTCAGAAAATCAATTTGGTTAAAAAAAGGTTGACAAAATTTCGAACTTATTTTCAAAATTCTCCTCTCCCTTCGAGGAATTCCTAGATCCGCCCCAACTTAACCATTAAATCAAAAAATGCCAAAATTTGTTACCAGAGACAGATTCTTTGTGTGTGTTGTAGTTCTTCATGGCCTCTCTTATGGATAAATAACTCAAGTAAAGAAAGATAAAACAACTCTGGCTGAACTATTTAATCTGAATGAACTAAATGATCAAGCAGCAGAACTTAAACATTTTGCCAGCCATTGTAATCAAAAGCACGCAACCAGTTACAACTGGCTAGAAAAAAATCAAATTTGTCAAGTTTTTGAAACGCGTTTGCTCACATTATATTACTTATTATAACATATTAGATTACTTATACTTCGCTGCCAATTTTCTGTTCATTAAGTAAAACACATGTAACTTTCTATATGTCTTTTTAAATGAGTTCGGCTACAAGACTTAAAATTTAAGACGAATAATTACCATAGACGAATGATTGAATTATTGGCTTTTTAGGAAGACGCCACCTTTCGATCTCCCAGATTATCCTGAAAAAAAAACCTTGAAAACTTTGTAAGATATGCGCATCACTCCAAAAATCCTTGATACTCCAACATTCTTTAACCGTTTTCAATTTTTTTTAGTTTGGCGACAGTAATTTCTATTCTTGTGCCAATTTAAATTTTTTTAGATAACATGGTCAGCCGGTGGATGAGCAAGTAGCGCAGAATGTTCCGATCACGGTAACTAATGTCAATAAGTTTACCAAAATTCTGCGCTTTTTTGCTAGAAACTCTATTAGAATTTCATCAAACCTTTATTGTTCAGAACAAGTATTGGGAAGGGGAAGTGCGATGTATCTTGATATTTGATTGAGATTTCTTCTATTCGAAATGAGAAAAACTACAAACATGTTGTGCGAGATCGTCCAGTCATATATCACTGTCATATATCTTCCGGACATATATTTACAAGCCATTTAGTTTCATTTAGTGTGAGCCGCATGCATCGAAGCATTTCAAACTAACTCTCCGAGTCAAAAATGCAGACGATTTGATCATTTATAACTTCACTGACGGTTTTTTAAGAAAGCACGTAAACAACAGTTATTAAAAAGCAATCATTAAAAAAATCACAAAAATCATAAAAATCCTATGGGACAGGATGTCAGATTGAAAATTGAGGATATTCAGCTTCTGGACTTTAAGAAATTTTGGGTGATGCTACTACTTTAGACTCGATTCTAAAAGCTTAAAAAACCAATGAGATGAAAAGATACTTGCCAAGAGATTGGTTTGATACTCCCAACAAGCTCAATGAGCAACAACTACCGCTGTACGATTACTTTTACAGCAAATTGATGAACAGCATTCCTCCAATGAAGATTATGCCTATTCTCAGAAGCTGTGCATAACCATGCAGTTGCAATAAATGAAAAAATTTAAAAAACGCCTGATAAGATTTTATCCTACACGGAAGTCAATTAGGATAGATTGAACATCTTTAACCTCTAAATTTGCCAAAGAATATGTAGTAAAATTGCATACGATGCAGTAAACTGGTACATTTTTTCTGGGACTTTTTCAACAACTGACTTTTTTCGAATGCTGCGCTTGAGCTAGCCACTCAAAATGTATTATTTCTAGACCCAGAAAATGTTTAGAATCCTACGCATTGCTCTATCGGCAAGATCGAGCGCCAAAAAACAAAAATCATCTAAATCTTGCCATCTCAAACCTATAACCAATCTTAAAACGTGCAAAATCAATTACTTTTGTTAATACATAGGGTACGGAGCGGATACTTTATAGACTATTTTAACACTGGGATTTTCACGCTTTTGCGCCATTTTCATCCAACAAATACTACTCGGATGTCCTGGGTTGGTTCCAATGTCTCGAGCTTGAAAATTAAGGTGGTTCATGTAATGGAATCAATCATCTGCTGGGGATTGAAGTCCATTTTTGAGAAAAATTTATGAGAAATCCCGCCGGCCTCCTGAAAGCACCTCTCTCTTTGTAGTCTCGTTAACACTTAACAACAATGCGTTCGTTTATTTTGGTTAAGATAGGTAGTTACGTCTCTTTTCTAGTCCAGTGTTGTTAGTCCCCGATGGGATATTTAGGACATGCCACTAGCGTGGGGTAATTGAACGTCGTTTCAACACTGCACTTTTCTGAACTAGTTTCGTGTTTTTTTTTACTATTGTGAGGTCAGTAGCCTCCGTCAAGCTTATCGGTTATTTCTGCAATTTATGTCTGAAATGTCTGATTGCTCTTTTAGTTGACGCCTCTATTTGGTTCCTCAAGTAGATGCGTTCAGTTGATTCCTTCAGTTGACTGCCAGTTTACTCCAGAGTCTTGATCTCCCTCTTCTAGTGGTAGGCGACACTGGCAATATAGACGAGAACGAACGACTTCAGTATGTCGGCTTGATTGATTTCGTGCTCCAAATCAGTGAAGAACTAGTGCTGATTTAAATTATCCAAACAAAATGAACAAAACTTGAGTTTGTAAACACGTTTTTCTCAAAATGGGTTAAGATTAGACAAAAAATGAAGAGAACAGAAGTTGCTTAGAATTTCATCAGAATTATTATGGTGAAATTCTAAGCAACTTCTGTGAAATTCTTAATATCACCATATTCTAAGTATATGGTGAGATTCTTATTATGGTGAAATTCTAGAAGGGTTAAATCTCCAAAAACCTGTATAAGTGAAAAAAAATTTGCTCGATAGTCAAGAAAAGTAATTCTTATTGAATAAAACCCAAAATCTTTGCTTAAAACCAATTATCAACAGTATACTCAAATTTTTGGAGATTTAACCCTTCTAGAACTTTGTTGGGCTGTGTAAGAGGTTTCTTGTGATATATCTTCCTTATCAATTAACAAAGTAGTTCCAGCGTAATTCTTGACTAATTAAAAAAGCCAAAATGACCTATTATTGGGGTAACACTTTGGTTGAGAAATTTGGAGAAAAAAATTGCCTTTTATGAATTCTGATGAAATTCTAAGCAACTACTGTTCTCTCCATTTCTTGTCTAATCTTAAACCATTTTGAGAAAAACGCGTTTGAAAATTCCAGTTTTGTTCATTTTGTCCGGATAATTTTAATCAGCATTTTAAATTGGGTATGTTTCAACCGTCTCAAGCGAAGTCAGGTATGTTCCGCTTCTCACGACCGACAAAAATGTACTCGACCCAAGCAAGATACGTTTTGACCGTTTCGACCGAATTCTAGTATATTTTGACTTTCAATTTCTTATGAGTTTTTGAAAATTGAACGCTATAATTCATCTTTTCGGGTAAAATCTCAGGCTGATTTTGTTTTACCGGAATAAAACAATTAGAGTTTTGAGCAGTTTAACTACCTGGTTTTCAATTCGAGTCGAAAACGTTACAGCGGAAAAACCTGTATCTTTCGACCGTTCCGTGGATATGTTTTGAAGTTGCTCCAAGTATGCTTCGACCGTGCTCGCAGTGTTTTTCAACCGTGATCGACCGAGTTTCGATTTGCCTCGATAGTTATTGCGGCATGCTTTGAAACTTTGCTTGACCCAATCCCGTCTCGACATTTATTTTTTTATCGAGCACCGACATTTGCTGGAATTTGAAAATTGGAAACATAAAACGAGCAGCTGGACCCCGGTAGTGATGGCTTATTCTTCAGGAACTTAGAATCACTGACAAGCGACACTAGAATCAGTTCAAGGGTTGATAGTTTTGTTTTGGGGTAATAACAATCTCGGAAACGAATTTTTGAAATTGTAGTCTACCGCTACATAAGCATATAAAAAGTTTTAAAATAGTTATTCGGAACCTGCGGCAGTGGACATTCAACATCATTTGGCGCTCAGCGATGTTCCAGCAAACTTCTGCTTTACTCTAAACTGAAGTTGGAGGTTGAATTCCTCTTTCATGACTTGATGCCGTCAACATATGCGGTGAAGATTGAAAATTGCTGGGGGTGGGGGTTTGGCTTTGAGCTGCAAGTTGTAGTCTCTTCTTTATCATGCGTGCATTCGATCACTATTGTGGGTTGTGCAGTGCTCGAAAGAGGAACAGTAGAAGCATAAAGAGGGAGAATTAAGAGAAAGACTGAAGCTGCCATCATAGTGAGTTGCGGCGAAGCTCCAGCAAGAGTTGGACACGATGCTGTTCATAAGCGATGTCTTCAATGTTCTTCTACTGCTCCTCTGATTAGTTTTAATCATGTTGTCGGTTCAACTGGTACGGCCACAATTGGTAACAGGCGACAATTCGTACCAAGGCATTGGCAAGTAGAATACGCTAAATTCGACATGAGAGGAATACTGCACGTGAATGAGTGTTCCCCGCTTAATTTACTGTTATGAATTGTCTACTGTTACGATTTGTCGACTCAAGGGCTCATTTAGTTGACGCATCTAGTTGATTCTTCCAGTTGATTCCTCGAGATGACTCCTCCAATTGCAAAAGCCTTTGTCTTTTTTGTCAAATGATTTCGAATTAAACTTGACAAGAAAACCGCAAACAAAATCAAATTTGAGCATTAAAAACCTTGTGGAAGTTGCAAGTGAACTAGTTTCGCGTGAACAACATTTCGGCCTCTTCCCTGGACAATTCTGACTTCAAATTTCAAGTCTCACGCCGACTTTTATTAGTTGTGCCTTTTTTTGAGTGAACCCTTCGCATTGCTGTCTACAATAGTCAGCCCATTCTGTTTTAGTAAATACCAGGCATCTGATCGGATATGGAAGCTATTCAAAGACAACAATTCCTGCAAGCATCGCAGTTGGGAAAAGAAAGATCACGCTAGGAAGGAGGGTTCAATGATATAAGCTGCCTTTTTATCTTACTTTTATTCATGGTTTCCGTTTATTTAGTTTCGTGAGCTACCTTTATGTCAAATACTAATGCGGGGGATATTTAAACAACTACTAGGGAATTCTCCGGCAGATTTCATCCGCGAGCTCATCCCAAACAAAAGTGACTACTTATAAGCTGAATGTCGTTGGTGTCAGCAAGTCGTCACAGATGCTCGGTTTTTGTTTCCCTCATTTTTATAGTGCAAACATGTTCATCATTTTGCCATTATCTGGGGCAATTTGGCAAGTGCTTTTTTTATATAAAACAAGTATCTTCTCAATTCCTGTTGTAAAATGTACGCTTCAAACAGAGAACATGGTTTGAGTTGATGCCGTAGGAGAACACCAAGTTGGCGTATTCACCGAATGAAAAACCCTTTTGATTAAGAGGAGGCCAACAGGCAGCCTGATTCTGCTGCGCACTTGAATGCTTGGCTTGATTGAGTTAAATGAAAAATGAATTAAATTCTTTACTCTCATCATTAATAAAACTCGAATTGTGTGATGGCTTAGAGAGAAGAGGAGCGAAATAATACTATACCAAACTTGAAATCATCTTCATCGTTAACAGCAGCAGCAGCAGCTATAAAGTTCACTTCTGACATCTTTTAGCATTCTTATGGAAAACATGGATGGGGAATTTTCAATTCTGGAAGCAATTCAAAGCCAAAAAGTTGTAAATAAGACTGTTAATTATTTGTTTGAATTATAAAAATATGTAATGCTTTCAGAATTGGGTGACTGTTAAAATATGCAACATTTTCCATTCAATGACTGAGTAAACATATTTGTTGCCCAGTTGGCCAATGGGTAAAAGGGGACACTGTCAGTAGCCACTCGTTGACCAGTTATGAACCACTCAGATGAAGTTAACTGTTAAAGGTCAAAGAGAACAACCCGTTTAAATTATTGAGTCTCCTAATTTATTAATATACTAGTGTGAAAGGATTATCGCTTTTTGAGATTGCACACCGACACAATGTAGCTCATTGATTGTTTACTTTCATGGTGCAACAACTACAAGACATTTTTAAACATTTCACAACAGCTCATTTTATTTGTTCACTTGGAGCATAAATCTGTACAGTGTTATGCAGTCTATTCGAAGTTTTTCTCATTTGGGTGACTAAATGATAGATTTTTCATCTTTTTCACGGAGATAGTTGGACGAGGGGTATATGAATGCTCTACATAAAATAATTTAGCACTTGTTTTTTTTTCTCGGACGGGGCCTTATTAAATACTGGGCAGGGATATTTGCACCAATAACAGCCTGAATTTACTCATCCACTCGGACTTTAAATCAATTGAAAATATCGAATTATGCATTACTTCATCGATGCTTGTGGAAAGGGAAGGTAACATGTTGTATTGGTTGAGTTGAAATGAGTTGATTTGAATGTAGAACAAACTAGACATGTACTGAAAACTACTCGAACAGAAACAGTCAACGATTAAATCATACAGCATGGCGCCAATGGCAATAACAATGGGTGCGATTTTGCTCTCTTTTTCTGCCGAGGAGACGATTAATTTATTCGATATAATTCAAACTGAGGACGAGGAGGAGGAGGAAGAGTGTTTCGAGGAAACGTCTCTATGATTCAGTTGGGAGCAGGGCACAGTTGAGGTTCAAGCAAAAAGCTAAACGTAACTGCTTTCTGAGTCTCCAAAATTTACTCCGGGTTCCAATGAAAAAGACTCTCAACGTTCTCAAATTGTTTTTTCAGCTGGTTTTGTCTAGCATGCACAGCAATAACTGACAAAAATCTATTGTGTGTGTGGGAGGGGGGAGGGGGAGGGGCAAGGAGACTGAGATATAGTATATTGAGATTTAAATGCTACTGATAATTCAGTTTGTTTATTTTCAATTTTACTAATTCGACCAGGTTATTACTGAACTGATTTTATTTTTTTCTCCTTTGCTTTACACTCAGTTTCTGTTATCGTATCTGTTTTGAGACGTAAGGAGGGAGTAGGGGGTAGTGGTTGTTGTGTTCTATGATTTGATTTGCTTCTCTTCTCTTATCTTCTCTTCTAACCCCCCCCCCCCCCAAACCCCTCGGCCCCGTCTATGCATTGCTCTCTGGGTTGGTTTTGAGGCCTGGTGCGTCGTGGCTCTTGTGTGACTCGAGTGCCTTCTGCGTGTAGATGTCCTGAGGCAGTTCACTCTTTCTCCGCATCACCGCAGCAGCACTAGTCCCGTCCCCTGTCACCACCGGCGCCGCAACTGTCGCCTTAGCCTGATCACACACAAACACCACATACTATAAATCACATCGCATCCCATTCTCCCCCTCCCCCTCCCCCTTCCACGCCTATGGTATCCAATAAAGTGTAACTTATACAAACATCGAGTAAATACGAATATCGTCAAAATAAAATAGCTTCTTAAAAGTTTTTTTCTATGAGAGGTCGGAAAATCAATTTGGTCCATCTAAAATCCCCCACAACTCGAGAAAATCCTAGACCCGCCCTTACTTGAGGGGATAAGAGATAATAAAAACATAAACAACATAGGGCGCTCTCATTCTTATTCATATTACAATATTACGTAAAACAGCAACATGTAGATCGTCGGAAAATTTCATGAAAAATTGACCTCTCAATTTCGCAATCTATTTGCAAAACAGACAAAAAACGCATAACCAGTCAATAATAGCTTTGTAAGTGCCGTTCGGAAGTAATGCATTTCAAAACATGTTTTAATGTATGTCCAACTGGAAAAGGATTTTTGTTGACGTCACATTAGACTTGATATATATCACAAGAATATTCGATTAAATGTAAGACCAACATAATATTCCATCCACTTAGTTTCAATTTATTGAACTTATGAAAAGTGAATACATGTATTTTTTTTTCCAAAACATAGCCAACAGACAGTTGGAAAAAGTCAATGAACGCAAGGAAACAAAAAAGAACACTTAGTTTCGAAAACGTGAACACTTAGAGCTCTTTGAGTTTCAAGAACAAATTAAGATTAACTTTTTTGATACAATTACCTCAATTTAGAAAAAACCGCAACAATAGGTTATCGTTTATTCCGCTGGGGAACCTGAAAGATTGAGACCACTTTCGAAATTAGAAGTCGATCACGTTTTTCGCGACCTTTACACTTTTGCTATTCGATAGTAACATTTGCCTTCCTTTCAACAGAGGAAATGAAGTGAACTTAAACAGAAATTAAAAGAGAACCAAAACAATTTAACTGAGTCTTATATTAAATCTTTTTCTGCGAAAAATCATGACAACCTTAGTAGGAACCTTCATTGCGTTCACTCACTCTTATAAAGAATGCATAACTCAAACCTACAATACATAAAATTCAGCGCCAACAATTTTTCACTCTTTTTCTATAATTTTGAAGAAAACATATGTGCCCTTGAAGCTCTTTGATTTTCATAAACAATTTAAAGCCTTTTTATAGAATTAATCCAATTTGAGAAATGTGGATTAAAATGCGAAATTTGTTTCGCTGGGTAATTAATATTTAAAAATTAATTCGTGATCTTTACACTTTTGCTGTTCAATGTAACAATGTTAAGAAAGGAAGTAAAGTGAAAATGAACAGAAATCAAAAGTCGAACAGCGACAAATTAACTTGAAATGAAATCTTTTCCTGAAAAAAATCATTAAGACCTATGTTAGAATCTACACTGTGTTCATTCACTCTTTTAGAGAAGTTTTAACTCAAACTTAAAATGCATAAACTGAGCGCGATCAACTTTTCAGTCTTTTTCTGAGAAAAAAAATATGCCATTAAAGCTCGCTCTTTGAATTTCATAAAGAGATCATTTTTGTCTCTTCATATGATATTAAACCAATTTGACAAAAACCGGAAACAAACCAAAATTTTTTATTTCGCTGGGTGAATTGTTTGCCTTTCTTTTAACACAGAAAATCAAGTAAGCTTAAACAGAAATCAAAAGTCGAACAGCGATAATATACATTTGACTGTGAAAATAAATCTTTTCCTAAGTTCTGGATTTTACAAAAATCTTAAAACCTTCATATAGAATTGTAGTTCAAGTTTTTCATGACAACAACTTTTTTCCGCCTTTTTTTCGGCTTGATAGGTTTCGGCCTTATATTGCGTCTTTCGACGAGTGAAAAAAATTTTGTGTGTGAGTATCTGTGTTTTGAGGCTGAAGAGGGAATTGATAACAACTTGTTAGTCTTAAACTTTTTTTGTCTTTTCTTACTTTTCTTTTTTTAAAACTAAATACGTTTCGGCCTTTTTTTAAAATCGGCTCTCTTATATCCAGCTCTCTTATATCGGCTTAGTGACCTATTATTGTGTCATTTGACGAGCAAAAGAAGTTTTTTTGAGATCTTTACACTTTTGCTGTTCGATAGTGGACTTTGCCTCCCTTTTAAAACCTATGTAAGAATACTCACTGCGTTGATTCACTCTTACCAAGAATAATAACTCAAACACAACATTGAGCGCGACCAAATTTTCAGTCTTTGTCTTGAATTTTAAAGAAAAATATATGCCCTTAAAGCTCTTTGAATTTCATAAACTATTTGTTGTGTATATGAAAATTTAGAAAAAATCATCATGACCTATGTAAGAAACTTCACTGCGTCCAATCACTCTTATAAAGAAATCATAACTGGAAATACACAAAATTGAGCGCGAATAACTATTCATTCTTTTTCTTGAATTTTGAAGAAAAAATATATGCCCTTAAAGCTCTTTGAATTTTGAACAATTTTTTTTAAATGAAACTAACCCATTTAGAAAAAATTGGATGAAAAGGCAAAACTTTTATTTCGCTGGGTAATCTGATACTTGCATTCCATTTTCGAAACTAGAAGTCAGTCAAATTCGTGACCTTATCATTTTTGCTGTCAGTTCGATAGAGGAATTTGCCTTCCTGTTCACAATGCAAATAAACAGATTGAAAAAAGTCAAAATTAAAACCGTTAAAAAATCAAAATTTAATGTGAACAGAAGTCAAACAGAAAACACCAAGACCACTAAGAGTACTCACGGAAAAAAATTTTACGGAAAAAAGTCTAGTTCCTGATTACAAGACAATTGCTTTCGCAAGCGTTAAATAAACTACTCCAAAAGTTTTTGATTCGAGAGTATTATTTTGAATTCCTAATAAAAAAACTCGTGATCTGCTAAAAAAATAGAATTCACTGCTTTCAATAAAACTACATTATCGAACCTTTACATAGATCATTCAATATTGATCAAGATAAAATGCGTGTTACTGAATTAAGTAACTAGAATCTGTTTTCGGCCAGGTGTTCTTACCACGGGTGCTTGTGCAGCAGCTGTGGGTGCCTGTGCTGCTTGGACAGGTATAGTCGAGTGCAGTTCATCTGGGGTCGGCAGGGCATCCGGGTCTGTTTCCGGGTCCTCGTCGCCCGCACTGGCCTGTAGAGTGTTCAGCACCAGCGTCACGTCTCCCGCGCCCCCGTCGAAGTGCTGTTGCACCAACTTAGCCTAACAAAACAAACGAAAGACCAATACAAAGGAACACAATTGTCCCACATATCAGTCCATTATCAACTATCGACACAGAGGCCAAGTTGCACTTCGCATACACAAGCAAAAATATGGACGATAGCGCTACTGGGAACAACAGAATGAGTAAAACTTAGTCTAGAAAATTTCTTGAGACGCACGCCAATTACGAGTCAACATAATTACTAATGGACGCAAGCCAATTATGACGCGTTAGCAGTACCAGTCAATTTGAAAAAAAAACGAAATTTACCAACTAACATGCCTCATTCTATAGAGTGGACGCATTTTAGCTAATATGCGAAAAAAACTATAAAATACACCCGACCCTGCCCATGTTCGAACCCTCTTACCTCTTATTCTGTTGCGGGTCTCCTTTCCTACCTCTACGCTAAAGATCCATGATACCTTGAAGCTAAAGTGCTATTTGTAATATAATAGTCTGTGTTAATATCCTTAGTAATAGCTGTCCTTAAAAGCTGGTAATTGGTCAAAATGAACACATTTTGTTGTCGCAACAATTGCATCGCAACAATATTTGCGACTTAGGTTGGAAAAAAAGAAAGTTATACTATTACACAAGCTATAACTTTGAGGATCCTGTTCTTCATCTCTTTTTGTTCCGACCACCCCCAGAGATGGAAGCAACTTTGGCATAGCAGGCTTTCTAGGTTAGCAGACTAGTCACGCATTAAAAACACCAGATAACGTCGAGTGAAATATGATATAGAAGCCCTTACGCTTCTATATAAAATAAAGGGATGCGATAAAGGAATGTGAATAAAGGAATGCTTCGCCCCACTTGCGATGCAACCCAAACGTAGAAAATGGGGTGGAGGGCAGCATGTCGAAAAAACTAATTAATGAAGTTTTTAAAGATATAGTCTCAAATATGTTCAATTTCAGGGACATATTCTAACAAACACAATCGACAGCGTAATATTACCATTCAGAAAAACTAATCGAGCGCGAAAAAGCCGACAAAATTTGGATAGACAATCACTGAGCCGAAAACAAAACATTTTGGGCTTTTAAATTTCACAATTCGATTTACACCCTCCTGAAACACTTTAGAGAAAAAACGTGAAAAAGAAGAAATTATACAACATAGCTAACTGACAGTTGGAAAAGAGTAATGAACGCAAGGAAACTGAAAAAAAAAAAAGACTTTATTTTTCGAAAATCTTCACATTTTGAATTTCGAATAAAAAGTTAAATGGCCTTAAAGCTCTTTGAATTTGTGGAACAATTTATGATGGACACTTTTTTGTTAAAATTAACCCAATTGGAGAAAACTGGATCCGAAATTAGAAGTCGATCACGTTTTTCGTGACATTTATATATTTTTTTGCTTTTCGCTAGTGCAGTTTGCCTTTCTTTTAACAATAGAAATGCACTGAACTTAAAAATAAATCACATGTCAAATCGCGAAAAATCTAATTGAGCGTGAACAAATTTAAAAAAAATCAGCAAGACCTATATAAGAGTCTTCACTACGTTCATTACTCTAGAAAAATCACACGTCACAAATATCAAAATACAAGATGAATCAAAAGGTATTTCATTTCCAGCTAAACTCGTATCAGCCAAAGAAAATAGCACGATGTGGAAGGAAGCTGACAAAAAATAAGCTGAAAAAAATTCCGATAATTGAAATCTCCCAGGAAAAAAAAATTATCAAAAATCTGCTCCTGGCCAGTATCGAGCCATAACCCATAATCGAATCAAATGTTTCAGTGATTTTGTTAAGCAAATTGTCAACCCGCAAAAAAATCTATTTCGATTTGTTAAAGCTTGCTAGTTGCAAACTTATTAAAGACAGCCGGTCGCATAACTATATTTAAAAAAAAACCTCAAGTTTGGACCCAAAAAATTACAATTTTTCTTGTTTTTATTTTTCTAATTTTATTAAGGAGTGCTTAAAATGGTTACTTAGATTTCTCAGAATCATTCTTATATATCATCGAAAAAAAACAGAAGCGAAGCAGTGATTCGCACCACTTGCGATGCGTCAAAAATAGAACGACAGCAAAAAATTATAAAAAATGAATATTCGAAAAAATGAAAAAAGCAAAAATATCGAATTTTATGATTGTCTCGAAGGTAATTAATTTTGAAGAAAAACACTGAGAAACACAATTGCCAAAAAGAAATAAGTATTGAAAAACAACATTAATCAAACGGTAATTGAATGAGCAAACAACATTTGGGTAGACGCCAAATGACCCGAAAAAATTGCTGTTAAAACTTTTAAGCTACAAAACCTAGAACGCCCGTTTTTCACACCCCTTCAAGAGCACAAAAGCAGTTAAAAAGATTTGGCTCTTCAAACGACGAAACATGAGGCAAATAAACAGATATATTTTCAAAAGCCGAAAATAGAATCAAAAATTTCGAGACTAATAAAAAATGATTAAGTCCCCCTCAACCTCAAAACACACAGGCACACAATTTTTTTTTTCGCTGGTTGACAGACGCAATGTGTGGCCATTATACCGATATACACAGAGGCGAAGTTGTACTTCGCATACACATGCAAAAATATGACCGACCGATAATGCTACTGGGAAAAACTGAATGAGTAAAACTTTGAGTCTACAAAATTTCTTAAGTGACGCACGCCAATTATGACGCATTAGCAGTACCAGTCAATTTGAAAAAAACCAGCTAACATGCCTCAATTTAAATGCAGTCTATGGAGCAGTAATAATATGAAAAAACTTGAGTAATAAAAATAAAATGAAAATTTTCTTTAATTTGACATTTTTTGTGAAAATCATCCCCCACACGCCATTTTAAGTACAAAGTGATATATTTCGCACCTAGTAACAAATAAATTATGGTAAATAAGCTTCCTTCAACCAAATCGGTTGATTTCTATGACGGATTAAATCTCCGCTTACGCGTTAATAGCGCGAAATATATCGCGCGTTTATTGTCCCAAATTGGCCAAAATGGCAAATTTCAAACCCCATAATTTTACGAAAAATAATCACAGGTGAAACACCTTTCCAAAATTCAGCTTAGGGCAACAATACTTTTTGAATGATAATTTAAAAATCATGTCAGAAATGGCTAGTTAAAAAGTCGAAATTTGTCTGAAAAAAAGCACCCCGAGCACAAATATTCCGTTACTTTCGTTACGAAAGTCGGAAAAATAATAGTTTATGTTAAAATTCTTAGATTGGCTGTACTTAATATTTGGTTACTGATCAAAATGAACACAATTTATTGCAACAATATTTGCGTCACAACAGTATTTGCGACTTGGGTTGGAAAAAAAAGATAGCTCAAACTATAACACACTCATTGCTTGTGTAAATACAGGCCGAAACCAATAAAGGCGAAAAACGGAAAAGAAAAAAAAATGCCGAGAAAAACTGTCTCCAGGCAAAACTTGAACTATAATTCTCTTAGCAAAAATCGCGATCCAGATGTGAGCATATAAACTACGTTTTACTTGAAACGACTCAAAATTATGCCACTAAGCCAATAGAATATAAGCCGAAATCATTTGGACAGAAAAAAACTAAAACATACAAGTCAAGAAATTACAAACAGCAGAAGTAATTCAAAACAGTAACAGCAACTACAATGAAAATTGCGCATAGCAAGAGATAACAATTATACGATGTTGCAACTAGGCCGACAAAACATAAGCAGACAAATAATAAGCCGATAACTTTTTTTTGAAACGGAATATTTCTCGCTTTGAAAAAAGGTCCCGGTTCGATTCGAACCAAGGACCTTTGCCCTTCCAGGCAAATTTGTTACCTCTAGGCTAAATGGGACGTGAATGCTGAGAAATTGAAAAGGACCGCGAACGCTCAGAAGGTTCCTCTAGAGATGAGTCCAGATGTATACTAGATATGAGTCCTGTGGACAGAGTTGTTTAGGGGGAAAAAGTCTAGTACTCAATTGCAACACCCTGGCTATCGCTAGGGTAAAAAACAAGTTTTGAACACAATCGCCTGCGTGTAAATGACATTCACGCAAAATTTAAACAAGCCAATCATACTTGGGTAGATGCACATTGAGATAAAAACAAATGTCATAAAAATGGGCTATAGAAATTTTTTGAAAGCGTTTAAGTAAATCAACAACACTTACAACTACAAAAAAATCGCTCGGATTTGCTGTGTTCATCAAACATATCGGTCAAATATTCCCCCAGACTTTTTTGAAGGCTGTAGACAAAAGCGAAAGCAAAAAAAAAGACCAATGGAGTATACCGGCGCACAAGAATGTAGGCAGTCTTTCTAAGGATACTCCTTTCTTGAAAATCCGTAAAGTTTTCCAGAAAAAAATCTAAGACATTTTTGCAAAAAGCATTTAAATTTCCAAAGCATCTAGAATAATAAAAAACCGGAATTCTAGGCAAAATGCCATGCAAGCATTTGAAATTCAAATTAGCAATTGAACAAAACTTACGGAGGTGAAACAAGGCCGACAATCTTTGAGCAGACCAGTTGAGCCAAAAAATAATAATTATAGAAAAAAATTTAACGTAACTATTATCCAGCTGGTAGATTAAATTGAATTTTCATGAATCTGAGTGATGTCAGCTGAGGAGCATGTCAGGCGAAGAGCATGTCAAGTGATTCAACTGATTTTCTTAAACTACTTGTTAACCCGAAAAAAGTCTACATTCCGATTTGATAACGATTGCTAATCGCAAGTCTAAATTATATATTAAGAGAAAAGGTCAAAATAAGCCATGAAATTAAAATTTGCGGATTCGAACCTGCAATCAGAAGACTGTGAAGCAGACGAACTCGCATCTGCGCCACGGGCCTTCAAAACTTACTAACACTTGCCACCAATAAAGCAGCTACATATGCTTTTACTTTGCATGCAATAAACTCTGGTACTCTCGTATAAACCCAGGCCAAAGAGTGGATAAACTTGCAAGCGAAATTGGAGAATCAGACTTCATATTTCTAAATGAAAATCTTGCAACCCGGGTCATCGACACCTGTTCAAGCTCACGGGACACCACACTTGTAAAGCCAGATCTGAACATAGTCCCACTGAACTAACACTTGGCTCGAATCACGTCCCCATCATCATAAAACTCACCTGCGATATCGAAAATTTAGAAGCAAAGAAACACTAATCATCAGCATGGCTTCAGAAAAACACGGTCAACAGAACGGCCTTAAATTGTATCAAAAACAAAACTGAGGGCCATTACAAAACGAAACCCTATCAGAGAACGCTTCTGGTCACTTAAGATGTTACCGCCGTATTCGATAAGGTTAACCACCAAAATCTTCATAATGACATAAAGAGTACTTCTCTGACTAACAACGCAAAACGATGGCTGCTCTCATTCCTACAAGGCCGCTTCACATACATCGAGTTTAGAGATCAGGTATCAAGCAATCGTTAAGTGAAACAAGGAACCCCACAAACTGATGTTCTCTCACCGCTTCTCTTCAACCTGTATATGTGACACCATTAAAACAGTCACCTCAGCAGACGATATTACACGTCTCACATCTGGGCCTAATGCATCGATACTACACACCCCCCATGAACGCATATGGCACAACTACAAACATGGCTCATATACAGACATCATAATTTATCTCAAGGTGATAAATTTTCAAACTAAGGTTGAGATTGGGTGTTATCGCCTAACAAACATGAAAAAACTCTAAAATCCTGTCACATTTGAAAAGCTCAACTTCGGAGCGCACACGCAAAACATCTGTTACCGAGCTCATCAAGAAAAAATGTGCGGAAAAAAACTAACCAGCACTAAATGGGTATCCACAAAAAGACCTTATCGATATCTTCAAAGGCCATCAACCGTAGTGTAATGAACTAGGCGGCACCAAAATGGTCACCCAGCTTCAGCGCTAATAACTGAAATAAGCTGCAAGTGAAACCAAATGACTCGCTGATAATCGTCACCTTCCTAAAAATTACTAAACTCAATTCCATCTGAAATAGGCGTTAGTGAAAACTGACTCAATCGAGAAGTCAGGTGCAAACTTGCTAAGCTGCCACAAGGATAATCTCTATTGCTGACTAATTACAGGAGTAGGTTGGACCATGAAATCCCTTATGGCTGTGAAAATTGTAGACATAACCCTTTTGATGTCAATCACTTAATTAACCGTCGAGGCAGACCAACAGATTTAGAATTCCTCAGTCTCTGGCGTGACACCTCCCTGTAGCTGAATTTCTTCAGCTCACATAGCACGATGCAGCGGGAGAGCTTAACGTCTTCCCAGAAACAATAAGCATGCCGTAGAATGCTGACCTCATCACAGCACAATATAACGAGAGACCCATTTAGACGAACTACAGTGTCAAAGCGTTTTTCAAGTAACCCACAAATGTGGTATTTCCTAAATATCCCGTCGGGGCCAACGACACTGGTCTGTGTCCTAGACAAAGCAGCCACAAATAAACCTTTATCTCCACCGGAGATGAGGGATTAAACAAACGACAACATGTCAAGCTTATTTTCAGAAACACGTATGGTATATTCCTTTTACAGTTTTTAAATTAAATGGCTTGATTTTTTTAGCGAAGGCAATTGTGCCACGCGGAATCTTTTGGGCTCATGTGAAAAACATCCCCCCTAAATAGACGAAGTGAATAATCTCCTCCTTAAAACTAAAGGGCAAACTCAATCCGTAAGGCCTGAATGTATTATGATCAAATCCGATCGGCTGAAAATTTTTTTAAACCAAATGCACAATCTACCTCCTACTATGATTTAGGGGGAGATTGTTCACTTGGTTCATCTTTGGGATTGGTATCTTAAACTCAAGAGATTTTTTGCCATGAAACCATTTCCTCGCGCCATTTGCACTTGGAGACCGCGGTTTTGTTTTTAGTTAGCAAACATTATGAATTTAGAAAAAAAAATACAATTCTCTGAAAAAACACTCGGCCTAATTACTTATTTTCACTGTAACTCACTTAAAACCTCCATTAGTTATATTGGATTTACAGCAAAATCAAAATATTCGGTACAACTTGCACAGCCACTGGCTAACCTTGCGAAATAAGTTATGGGCGTGTTTCAAGTAATTATATCTTTTTCTTAATAGATACAAAAAAAGTCAGATGAAAAAATCCCGGATTGCTGCTCTCAACTTAAGAGGTAAGAGCCACAAACTACTGCTTGCTTGCTATAATTGCTATGCTTGCTTTCTGATACTCATATATCTGCTAGTTAGCATGACATTAATAATTAAGGGTGGGGTAAGGGGAGGTTCTTACGTTGGGGTTCTTGTCGGCACAGTCTTTGATCCGGAGCCACACATTCTGTCTATTGTGGGCCAGTTCCTTCTCCTTCTGTCTGTCTGCCTTGTACTGGTGCACACAGTCATCGAACAACTTCTGGTCCATATCCATCAGCAACTTCAGTCCATTGTAGATGAGGGAGTGGATCGTCTTGTTCCAATGTGTCTTCGAGTGCTTGTAGAGGGCGGGGAACAGGATGGGCATGATGACTGCAGTGTTCTGCTGCATCAGACCGACTATGACCTCGTTGTTGAAGAAGTACAGGGTTCGCTCCGCCACCTACACAAACACACATACGGCATCACACAAAGCGGCCCCGCCTCGCAAATACTACCCAAACGAAGCAGTCCAACTGAATCTTTCACACCATCATCGCTACTATTACATTGAAACAACTTCCTCAAGTCATGCATCGAGGAACAGACTAGCAACATATATGTGCATCTCATCATCATCATCATCATCATTAACATGGCCATTAAAGACAATTTCATAACATTTACATATTACATAGGCGGCGCAGCACACACTATCATGTGATTCAGAATTTCATCTTCTGATTGTGAATGCAATGTAGGCACGTAGAGGTTCAGTAAGATACTTGGAACATTTACTCGTCTATAAACATGTGTGTGACATTTCTATGTGTGTGTGTGTTTCTGACCTGGAAGTGGGGACTGGCGACGCACTTGGCCAGCTGTTTGAACAGAGGCACCATCACATCCTGGAACTGCTCCGGCTTAATAGCATCCAATATCTCCTCCAACTCATTCAGAAACATGACCTCCTGCAACAGAACAACAGCCATTAGGCAAGAGTGAAACAATCTTCACAAAACAACTACAGAGAGGCGAGGCCAGCAGAAGCTTCACTCCGCACCCCTTGGGATACAAAATATAAAATATACGCTAGCTGAGTAAATAGTTATAAATAACAAGAGAACAACAAACCATCCAACACTAACACATTTTGTAATCTTAAAGCACACTTCAACATGAAAAGGCGAACAAATAACTTAACAAAACAATTAAAGCCACAGGAATATAGTACAGGCTGTGTTTAAACAGTACAAAGCACAGGTTATAAGGTGCAAACGATATTCGAAACACTTGTCAGAAAACTCTTAAACAGCACGACAGCTAGCCAAAAAAAAATACGAATCCCATTGACTGAAAAAATTACTAGTGACCCAGCTAAACTGCAGATACCCCTTTGATATTTTTTAGAATATGTTCAGGGCGAGAGAAAATGGGTAACTTTCAAAATTGCACTTTTCCCAAAACCATTGTTGTTTCTCTACTAAAAGAGGGATAGACCGCTTTTGTGGGGAATGTCCAAACAACGGTGTTTTTCGATTGAACCCTCAACCTTAGATTTGGCAGGGTAGTTTTCGAGAAAAGCACTTTCCAAAAAATTGCACTTTTCCAAAGGCCATAAATTGCACTTTTTTAAGGCCATAAATTGCACTTTTCCTAAGGCCACAACTTTTGGGGCATCGCTGCTTATACGGGAAAAATCCAAACAAGAATTGAAGAAATGGCAAAAAAGGAGTTTTTTACTTTAGCCTCGAGCGAAGTTCAATTTGACAAAAAACATGTCGAGAAACACCATTTCCAGAGTTAAGTAAGTACTCAAACAAAATTCACTATGTGGTAACCAAGCACACGACACTTAAATAAACTACCGTGAGCCGAAAAAATGTCAAGAAAATTTCCCAACATAGTCAACAGATAGTTGAAAGGAAGTCAAACAAACAGAAAACAAACTGACTTGTTTTTCAAAAAATTCTCAATTTTCGATTTCAAAGAAAAAAAACTGATGGCCTTAAAGCTCTTTGAATTCCCAAAAACATTTAATGATTGAAACATTTTTGAAAAATTTAACTACATTTGAGAAAACTGGATTAATACGAAAAAACTTTATTTCGCTGGATAATCTGATAACTAAATTCCACTTCCGAAATTAGAAAACGATCACATTTTTCGTGGCCTTTACATTTTACTGTTTGATTTAGTAATTTGCCTTCCTGTTTACAATGGGAATATACTCAGCTTAAAAAGAAGAAATCAAAAGTCAAACTGCGCAAATCTAATTTTAAGCCTGAACAAATTTCAAGACTTTTCCTGAGAAAAAAATTATCACGACCTATATAAAAGTCCGAACTAAGTTCATCGAGTCTAAATTATATGGCCTTAGAGCTCCTTCAATTTCAAAAACAATTTATGAAACTTTTTGATTAAAAAAAAACAACCCAACTTGAGAAAAGTGGATCAAAAATAAAATTTTTATTCCGCTGGGAAATCTGTAAATTAAATTCTTCTTTCGAAACTAGATATAGCTCATGTTTTTCTTGACCTTTACAACTTTGCTGTTTGATCGTGGAGATTGCCTTCCATTTAACAGCAGATATAACTTGAACAGAAATCAAAAACCAAACCTCGAAAATCAAAATTGAGCGTGAAAAATATTTATACAGAGGCGAAGCGGAGCTTAGCACCACTTGCGATACAACATAAACACACAAAAAACAGAGAACATCGGAGAAAAAATTGAAAACCTATGAGAACCGAATTTTTTGTACGTCTCATTAACACGATAACAGATAATTAGTCGCCCAGTTTAAGGTGGAGGTACGTGTTTGATTTTTTTTGACTTTTTTATACTGATGTGCCACGAAATTCTTAGTTTCAAAAATTGAAACTTGCCTAAATCCTTATTTTTTTCTCTACTAAAGTAAGTGAGAAGTGTGAAAATTTTTGAGATATTGGAATTTTCCCTAGGAAATTAAATCTCTCAACCAGTTCTTTCGATTGAACCCTTCATCTCCGTAAATTTTTGTGTCAGAACATGTGGGCGTAACCGCTTATCCAGGGTAGCTTCCCACGGCCTATTTGTGGATTGAACTCAAAAACTCAGATTTGGCATGGCAGTTTTCAAGACAAGTCAAATAGTTTCAAATAACTGTCAAAAAATATCAAAAATGTGACTTTAGCTTTTAGTGTAAATAGCTTTTAGGGCAATAGCTTTTAGTGTAAAACATTTAGGCGTAGCCGTTTTTTAAGGGGAGTTTAACACAACTTGCGTTTTCGATTGAAACTAAACTCTGATTTGGGAAAGTAGTTTTCAAGAAAACTTTCACAAAACAGTCGAATAATAACAAAATGAGTTTTCCGAGGACGATACCTTTTTTTGTAGAAAAGAGGAGCTTCTCTACCAGAAATCCAAAATCAGGTGCTCCAATGAACACTCAAGCTGAAAATTGGCAAGATAGTTTTCGATAAAACTCAAAAAAAATTCAAAAAGGTTCAAAGACTCAAAACTTTTACTTTTTTGAAGAGCACAAAAATTGGACTCAGTCGCTTATGCAGTGGAGCTTCACACAACCTTATAATTCGATTGAAACTAAAGTCTCAAATTTCAGGAGGTTAGCTGTCGAGAAACTTCGAAAAACTTCAAACGGTCAAACAAATTAAAATTTTGATATTTCCGATGGCCGTAACTTTTAGTGTAAAAAGGAGCTTCCCAACACCCTTTATTTCAATTGAGCATACATAATCTTAGATTTAAGAGGGTAGTTTTCGAGAAAAGTCAAAGATTCAAAAACCGGTCAAAAATCAAATGTTTAGCTAATCCGAGGGCCAAAACAACCTAATCTTTGGCAAAAACTGCTTGGAGAGCGTATCGGATAAAATAAATTTCACAAGAAAAAAAAACGGAACATCAGCCGACAGAAATTAGGACAGTAAAAAAATCGACTTTTCTGAGTGTCATAACTTATTGAGACAAAAATTTGGGCGTGGCCTCTGATGCAGGGAGGCTTTCCACAACCAGTTCTATCAATTGAAATCATTAGTTCTGATTCGGTAGGGTAGTTTTTAAAAAAAACGAAATACAACCAAAAATATGGGTCAAATACTCCCATCATAGACTATTTCGAAGACTACAGACAGTTACTGCAGTCTGTAGTATTCGAAATAGACTAGCGGATTATGCAGACATACAGGAGAGTAGGCGGTCTTTCCACTGATACCATTCTTGGAAAATCGGTACAGTGGGTTTTGAGTAAAAATGAATCTAGGAACCCAGGCAGATAATTTGATTTTGTTGTTTTGATACGGGATGAAAAAGATAATTACAAAAAATGGACTTCACCCAAAACCTTAGTTGTTTCTAACAAAATAAGAGTTAAACTTTTTGCGACTTTGGAAATTTCCTGTAAACATAAAAATTTTAGACAAATTTTAATGCGTAGACGCTTATACACAGAGGCTTCCCACAAGCTGTTGCCTCGATAAAACCGTTGATATCAGATTCGACTGAGTAGTTAGAAGTCAAAATTTTCAAAAACGCACAAGAAATTGAAATACTCAGGTTTCTGATGCCCATACTTTTTTTGGTAGAAAATTTAGACGTCACCGTTTATTCTGCGGAATTTTTCATGAACCATTTAAAAAATTGAATCCAAAATCTCATATTTGGGAAAGTAGTTGAAAAATCATAAATTAAAATTTTGATTTTTCTATCGGCCATAACTTTTTGTAAAGAAAAACTAGAGATTAACCGCTCGTTAGGAGGGGCTTCACACAACCTGCTCTATTCATTGAATCCAAAATCTCAGATAGTAGTATTTGAGGAAAGTTTCAAAAAACTGTAAAAATTCAAAAATTTGTCTTTTCCTAGGCCCATAATTTTTCATTTAAAAAAAAATTGGACATAGCCGTTGAAACAGGGTAGCTTTTCAGGACTTTTTCTCTCATTTGAAGCCAATATCTCAGATTTGGGGGGTAGTTTGAGAAATGTCAAAAAGTTCCAAAAAACGTTCAGAAAACCGAAAACTTGATTTTTCTGAGGGCCATAACTTTTTGTGTAAAAAAATTGGGCGTCGCCGTTAGTGCAAGAGAGCTTGACAGAATTCGTTCTTTCGATTGATCTCAAAATCTCAGCTTTTGAAAAAATGTTTTCGATAAAATGAAACAAAAAATCTAAAAATTTAGGTCAAAAATTTTTCGAAACAAAAATTTCAGAACTTTTTGAACTAAAACCAGCAAGGATAATAGAATAAGAAATTCGATTCCGAAGAAAATTTACCAAATGGTACAAAAAGCCCAAAAAACCTTGGCAGAAACCCTTTAAGCCGATAAAACAAAAATATTAAGTGCCGCTCACCCTCAAAACACAAAAAAAAATTTTTAAATCGTAAAGTGAAATAATATGAGGCTAATAAGACAAAATACTATAGCCAGAAATCTATTAATCCGAAAACATAAGAAAAGTCAAAACAAAATTTAAAAAACTTCGACTAATAAAAAGTCCTGTCCACCCTCAAAACACACACACGCACATACAAATTTTTCTCGCTCGTCAGAAGACGCAATATGAGACCATTAAGACGATTTATTAAAGGCGGAAAAATATTATGCGGAAAAAAGGAAAAGAAAAAAACAAAGCCGAAAAAATGGTATGACTGGTATGACAAACTAAAATTTTTATCAACTTTGTGCAATCTAGAGGGAAGCATGAAGTTTGCTTCCTTTTAAACGAATCAAAATTAGGTCAAAAGCCGATGAAACTTAAGCCGAAATTATTTGGACAGAAAAAAGTTTTTGAGCAAAAAGAAACAAAACAAAAAAAAATTAGAAAAAAGTTACAAACAGCAGAAGTAAATAAAAAAACTACAAATAATTTCAATGTAACTTGCACACAGCAAAAAAAACAATTCTAGGATGTGGCAACTAAGCCGACAAAACATAAGCAGACAAACAATGAAACGGAATTTGAAACGGAATATTTCTCGGTTGAAGAAAAAAACAAGTTCCTGTCGAATTTGAAGCCAGGATCTTCGCCATCCCAGGCATATTCGTAACCTCCAGACCATGAGTGCCAAATACACAAATGAATTTGACTTTACTATGAAGTGCATCTAAATTTACCATATCTAAATTTGACCATTCAGTGAACAAAGTTATTTCCAAAAAAATTCTAGTACCCGATTGCAATATCCTTGCTTATTACAAGGGTAATTAGCAACGGACAACACTAAAGAAGCAGAAACAAAGCTTTAAAAATACTTTTTCCTACATAAAAAAAACTAACCAAAACCCATTTAGGAGTATTCACTACATTCATGACTCTTAATGAAATGTCAAATCGCAAAAAAAACTAATTATAGCCTGAACAAATCTTATACTTTTACAGATAAAAATCACCGCGACCTATACAAGAGTCTTACTACATTCATCGGCTCAAAAAGTTTTCAAACTCCTCTATTTTATACCTCTATCCCCGAGAACAAATTCGTGATAATATATTTCTGTTCTTCAAACAACGTATTGCGAGGCAACTAAACTAATAAAATAAAACAGAGCCACTATACAATTGGAAAAGATTCGTGAACGCAAGGTAACAGAGGCAAAAACTGACTGTTTTTTTTCAAAACTTCAACTTTCGAATTTCAAAGGAAAATTATATGGCCTTAAAGCTCTTTGAACTTCAAGAACAAATTATGGTTGATACTTTTGATGAATCTGGCCCAGTTTGAGAAAATTAGATCAACAGTTCAATTTTATATTTCGCTGGTAAGTCTGAAAATTAAATTCCACTTTCGAACTAGGAAGCCAATCACATTTTATGACCTTTAATTTTGCTGTTCGATAGTGGAGTTTGCCTTTCTTTATTCAAGAAAAATGAAATGAGCTTAAAAATAAATCAAAACTCAAACCGCGAAATATCAAATTTGATTCCTGAAAAAAATATATATCACCTTTCATGACTACGTCAATGACTCATAAAACTGAACTCAGCTAGGCCAAAAATAGTTTAAGAGAAAAAAACGAAGCAAATTAAACACAGAGGCGAAGCGGAGCTTTGCAACACTTGTGATACAATTAAACCGTTACTTTAGAAAATATTGAGAAACAGGTAGTCTTTTCTTTACGCTAAAAAAAAAAAAATTTTGAAAAATCCAAATATCTACAGAAAATTCATACTTTTGTCTCGGATGATGTTCATAAACAGTCTTAACAAACAACGAAAATCAGTGATCGAGCGGCAACTTCGGCGAAAAAAACTTGGTTCGACCCTCGTTCAAAAATGTTGATTCGTAATACAACACAACGCTCGCAAGTTTAATTACAATAATTGTATTTTAAGCGAGTAGGAAAAAATGTAGATTCGTAATTCAATACTAAGCTCGCCAGTGTAATTATGACATTTGTATTTAGTAACATGTCTATTCGACAAAACTCACTATTTCTTCGTGGCAAAAAAAATAAGAAATGGGCTAAATTGGATTTTTCTTCAACTTTTGGATTTCAAACAGAGGCGAAGCGGAGGCAAAAACTAGTAAAAAAAAACCATTTCAAGCTATAAAATTTTAGAAGCCTAATTCAATAGATCCATCCCTCTTCATACGGGCAAAAATATTTGAAAATTCGCCCTTGAAAGTACGCAACATCAGCTGAGTAAGCCGAAAAAGATAAGCCGAACCCATTTTGAAAAACTTAAATTAGTTTAAGTAAATTAAACTACAGAACAAGCTTCAATTATAGTTAAAACTAGGGGCCCAGTAAAAGCTGCAGGTAACTCTTTGATATTTTTTAGAATACGTTTTACTGAAGCAAGATGAAATGCGTTATTTTCAAAACCCAAAACCTTAGGTGTTTCTTTACTAAGATAAGTGATTAGCCACAAATGTAGGCGAAATACCTATTACAGTTTCTTACACATGAACTCAAAATGAAATTAGGTAAAGTCAGGGTCTTTTCACTCATCCTAGTCATTTAATTGTGCGAAGCCACTTATAGCGAAAAAAATATCATACCCTGTCTTTTCGATTGAACTCTAAATCTCAGCTTTGTCGGGGTAGTTTTCGAGCAGTCAATAATTTTGCAAAAAAAAATAGGAAAACAGCGAAACCTTCAGAATGGGCACAGAACATCTTTTCCTTTATAAATAAAAGAGTCGACACTTTTAAATTAAAAAATTTCACAACCGCTTTATTCGATTCAATCCTTAATCTCAAATGTGCTGGGGTAGTTTTTGAAATCAAAGATTCCAAAAGACGGACACAAAAATAATCAAATTTGACTTTTCAGAGTGTGATAGTTTTTTCTATAAGAAATAGGGCGTACCAGCTGATGCAGTGAAGAAGCCCATAATCGTTTTTGTTCGATTGTACTATCAAGCTGAGAACTCACAGGGTAGTTTTCGAGAAAAATCAGTTTCCAAAAAACCGTGAAAAAGAAAAGTCTTTTCAAAAACCAAAAACTTTTTCGGCAAAAGATTAAGAAGGTATTCGCTTATGCAAAGGAGCTTCTCACCTTTTTTATTGGAAGCAAAAACTGAGGTTTAAGAGGACAGTTTTTAAAAATGCTTGCTAATCGAAAGCGTAAAAGATCTGATCTTTCAAAAATCTGATCTTTCAATTGAAACCAAAATCTGTGATTTCGGAGAGTAATTTTCGTCAAAGTTTCAAAATTTTCGACCAATTCTAGTAATTTTCGACCTGTCAAAGTTTCAAAAAACGGTCAAAAAATCACATTAATGAACTTTCTGAGTACCATAAATTTCAAAGAAAATTGAGCTTACCCGCTTATTCAGGGGATCTTCCCACAACCCTTGCTTCCGATTGAACTCGAAACCTCAAATTTGTGTGTGTAGTTATCGAAAAAATTCCAAAAAAAGGGTCAAAAAATCCTTCCACACAAATTTTCGAAGGCTGAAAATTAAAGTAAAAACAAAAACACGAAGTCAAAAAAGTAAAAAGTACAAACTGCCGAAGTAAATCAAAACCCTTAGATTAACAACGTATATTGCTTAGCTAAAAAAAGCAAGATGTGGTAACTACGCCGACAAAACATCACTTAAATCGCCAAACTATGAGCAGATAAAGCCAACAATTTGTTGCAACCGAATATTTCGAGTTTGAAAAAAAAAAGATATCAGATTCGAAATTAGGCCTTTTCCTAGTCGTATTTGTTACCTCCAGACCAAGTGTGCCGAAGACGCAGAGAAAATTGAATTTTCTTCTAAATTGGACCTAAATTTACCATTTCTAATTTTGAATATACTGTGAACAAAGTTACTAGTACCCGATTGAAATTGAGCATTTTTGCTGCAGAATTGAATGCTGAACATATGATTCACTGATTTTGTTGACCTAATTGTTAACCCGAAAAACCTCTTTATTCCGATTCGATAACGCTTGCTAATGGCCAGCATAAAAAGCAAATCCCATACATTTTCATAATACCTGTTTAAATCACCCAGGAAGAGTTCAAATCAAAAATTAAACACAGAGGCCACGCTTCGCAAACGCTAGCCAAAACGCGACAAAAAAACAGCTAGCAATAAGAAACAGTAGAAATGAGCAGAGCACTAGCCAGAAATTCCTCTCACAAAAATTCCTCCCACAATAGTCCTTGAAAAAAAAACAGCCAATCCAAGATTGGAGAAGAGAAATGAACGCAAGTAAACATAAAAAAAACACTGACTTTCTAGAGAAAATCTCAACTTTCGAATTTCAAAGAAAAAAATAGATGCCCTTTAAGCTTTTAAAATTTCTACAACAATTTATGATTGACGCTTTTTTTGATACCATGAACCCAACTAATGAAAACTGGATCAATAGGTAAAGTTTTTATTCCGCTGGAAATATAAAAACTAAATTCCACTTTCGAAACTAGAAATCGTTCACGTTTTTTTCGCGCCATTACCACGTTCGAATTTGGAGAGTGCTATTTACGTCACTTTCAGCAGATGAATTTCAATTGAACTCAAAAAAGCATATATACCTAAGTGCATTCATAAATGCATCAATATGTATGAATGCACATCTGCAGTTATTAGAGACTTTTAAGACTTTTACTGAAAAAAAAACAAAATCAGCAAGACTCTTATAAGAGACTTCACTACATTCATTACTCTTAAAAATTCCCAAATCGTTCAAAAAAATTTGAAAAACCAATCCCATAAATTTTCATAAGTTTTTATCAGCATGTTCGAATCAAAAATGAAAAAAAACAAGCTTTAGAAAGGAACTACTTGAAACGCGTACCAGATAATAAAAGTTTCATTTGAACAAAAAGGGAAAATCAGCCGACAGAAATTAGGACGAAACCCACAATTCCGAAAAAGAAAATTTTCCCTACATAAATGAAAAAATTAAATACTACATCATATGAATCAAGAAATTTTATTTGAGCTTTTGTTTACGGGGGAAAAGTCTAGTTCCCGATTACAAGTCACTTGCTCTCGCAAGTGAAATAATGTAACTTGCCAAGCTCCATTCATTACTTTCCTTTAGCAAAATGAAAAAAAAATAATTTCAGAAAAAATTTTTCCATCAACATGTATCGCTAAAGTTGCAGAAAATTGCACCATGAAAGGAAGGACTCCAAAATAAATTTCAATTATAGTAAAATCAGAAAATGATGACAAACGGGCATCCGGTGACTAAATTTTTCAAAACAAAAATTTTCAATTTGCAAAAATTTGAACCCCGGACATTTGTTCCAAGCATTCGCTTTACCTCCAGGCTCAAATTATCGAGTTAGTGAATTAAGGCTCACCTTGGGACTGTGGACCTTGGGCCAGAATTTAAGGAGGCCCATAATGACAGGGTGAGTGAGTGCCTTGTCCTTCTCGAGGAACTGGACCACACAGTAAGCAAGCTGTGGATGGTAGACTGCGAGAGAGCGCACCTTGTGCAGGGGCAGCAGCACTTTCAGCAAAAACACCTTGTGCTCCTCCTTCAGCGGCAGCGCGAATCCGTTGATGATGCTGATAAAACAAATGTTCTAAGCGTAAAACACTGCCTAACAATGATGCAAGTACAAACAATTAACTAGTCTAGCCTCATATTATCAGATGATATATTGAGTACCAAGACAAGATATATACTAAAATACTCATGAAATGCACACTAAATGACAATCTTAAAAGCGCAGCCTGTAGAAACTGTGCTTACACAATGCTCTTCGTGAAACGAATGATATATTCAAGAAACTTCTCCTACTTGCACCATGAAATGCAGGACTCCAAAATCTTACAAGCGGCTTGAGGATCTACCATTGCATGCAAAAATGAGGAACATGAAAATATCTTTTCCAAACAGACGAACCTGCCGAGGATTTCGAGCAGTTCAGCGACTCCGTTGTGCTTTTCCGTTTCGTAAATAAACCTGAAACAAAACTATATACTCACGCATCCTCGCATCAAAGTTAGCTGTTATTCGCTGAATGGCTCGTAGCACTGACCTATAGAAGACGTTATTGATCTGTTTGCGGATGTAAGCTCTGAGACCTAGAAATTTTCCATAGATTCTATGCAACGTAGTCTTCAAAAAATCTCTTTCCCGAGGATCTTCGCTGTCAAATAACTCAATCAGCTGAAAAATCAAATTTCCACATCATTCGTAGCATAATGATCATAAATTGCCTTAAAATAACGATGACTTACCTGCAGAACAAACTTCTGGTCGATATACCGTTTAGCGATATTTGGTTGAAAATCAGGAGACTCCAAGAACCGGAGAAAAAATTCGTGAACTATCTGGAGATGTGGCCAGGCAGCCTCTAGAGCCGGCTCGTCCTCCTCTGGGTCAAACTCGGCTCCTGTGGGACTAGATGCAGGTGGTAGAGACCTAAAACGAAAACCATTTCATCTAGAAACCCAAAAACGAGAAAACAACTTGTCCCAACTTTGTCTGATTTGAATCAAAAACAACGGCATTGCCATAAATAGTTACACTCCCACATTGAGCACAACTGTCCCCAATTAACTTCGTTCAGGCAAAATGGGAATCACTGCCAACTCACCTGAACATATTCACGGCAAACATATTAATTGCTTCTGGGTATATCGGCTCGGTAATCACGTCCCTGTTATGGGCAACATACTCTACTAATTCATTCAGAACTGCTCGTTTAATTTCTTTCGACTTCAAATCACTCAATGGGTCCAACACGAAATCAAATATGGTGCAACACTGCCTCAGCTTCTGAATAAATAAATCCTCGCGAGCGTCCGATGCAGCTTCTGAAAAATAAAATACTTAACAAAAAATATATCAAAAACATATCTTGCTTTTTCTTGATTTCAACTCACCCATGATATTGGGAAGCTTGGTAAGTTCCCTGTTTTTACTGATGTTGAACCGAGAAGAGTTTTGCCTCTTCTCTTTTCTAATTGGCGCATTTGGATTGAACTTAATTTTGGACAATTGTGTCGTGGGCGGCGCGGGTCCATGCGCAGCCTTTTTCAAACTCTGTTTAAAAAATCAAAAATTAATTTATTTTAGATAGAAAGCAAGTCCATTTAAAATGTCAACCTCTAATTTGAGCGGATACTCACTTCCTCGGATTCAGCATTGCTTTTTGAGCTCTGCTTGGTTCCAGTTGTCTAGAATATCATTGTTAATGATAAAATCCGCATATTTCATAAAATTTCGAATGAAAAATAAATGAACACCTTTTTTGGTTTATTCGGCATAGTCAGTGGATTTTTCATCACAAGCAGGAAAAAATTTTTTACAAAGAAAAAGATTGGGAGATGAGATGAAGATCTGATAACATAGCAGATTTGAACTGAATACCCGCTATTGTTACTTATATCATTCCAATCTAAAATTACAAGAAAAAATTACACGCTCTGTAGGACACCATCAAAATTTCCGCTTTCCAAGCTATTGTATAAACTTTCCTAATTGTTGTGATAAACTTATTAAATAGTTTCATATAAATGGCTCCGATCAAACGCACGAATCGAGCAAATTCAACTGCTGAACAAGATGTGTGTAACAAATGTTCTGAGACGATTGGTGGATGGATCTTCTGCTACTCGTGTAGGAAGTGGATGCATGACAAGTGTTGTGGATTATCACCAGAACTCGTTCAACAGATCACCATGATTGACAACATTCAATACGTCTGTGGTGAGTGTCTGAAATCCAATGAACCAATCAATCAGAAAATCTTGGACAACACCTTGGATAAGGTTATTACTCCAAAGATCGAAGTTATTTTATCTAATTTTACCGATAAACTTACTGAGAAATTTACTGAAATTGCTGGTAGTTTCGAGCTCTGCTCAAAAATACGCCGCAGTTGCTTCAATTCCTACTACAGTTCCTGCAATTTCTTCTCCTGTCGATAATACTTGGACTCGTGAATTGAAAATTGATGGTATATCCGAAAACAGGTGATTTTAAATCGCAAATTGAATCTGATATTCATCATATTACTGCTATTTTGAATCACCTAGGTGAGGATTCTTTTGTTAAAGTTAGATCTTTCAAGCGCCTGGGAAAACGTATTGCTACCAGCACGCGCCCACGCACCTTACTTGTTGAATTTACTTCCCAATTTGACTGTGTCAAAGTTTTATCTAAAGCTTACAAACTGCAATCCTTTCAATCTCCCATTTACATTTCAAAATCTCTGTCTCCTACTGACCAAATCAAATTGCGTAAAATATTGAAACTGAGGACTGATGTTTCCACCAAAGACAACATTCCAAAGAGCGATCTCAAGATAAAAAACCTGAAACTTTACCATAATAATATGGAAATTCCGTTACCCGAATGACTAGCGGATTTGAGGTTGTGTCTTATCAACGCTCAAAGCTTGATAACAAGTACTCAACGTCTCAAGCTACGCAACTTTCTGCTTTCTAACAACATTGATTTACTGTTTATCACCGAAACCTGGCTCTATGATGAGATAGAGAATCACGAAATCTTCCCTGCTTCTGGCTATCACGTCCTCATGCGAATTGACAGAACTTCAGTAGCACATGGAGGAGTGCTTATTGCTGTCCGTGTGAGCCTGGAACTCAGTATTTTATCATCTTTTTCTTACTCTGATTTTTGCTGTTCTATCATTATTGATTTCCATAAAGCATTTTATAGTTTCTTATTGATTTACAATCCACCTCAAACTTCATTATTCAGAGTTGATTCTTCTGTGCTTGATGAGGCTATGTTTAACCACCGTGATGAGGTTGTAAAATGTCTCGGTCGCAAAGTTGCGAAAGACCGAGTTGTTACCGCAGTTCTCGGTGACATCAACCTTCCTGATGTCTGCTGAAGCTCACACACTGCTACTTCTGATTATTCAAACAAATTTTTGACAGCACTAGATGATCTTGACTTGCTTCAAATTGTTGATTTCAGCACCATAGTTTCGGGCAATATCCTTGACTTGCTCTGCGTTTCAGATCCTCATCGATTCATAGTTTTTCGAGGTGCCACTGCTTTTTCTGATCATTTTCCTGTTTTTGCGCATGTATTTGCTGCAAGTTCAATTTCACATTTTACTACAAAGCGATCTGTCACTTACTCAAAAAGTAGTCTTAATTCAGAAAGTTTCAGTCGGGCTATATCGCCCTTATACTCTATCTTGCATTCTAACTGTCATAATGAGTTCATTGACAAGTTCAACGAAACTGTTTGTCAAGCACTTGATTCTTCATGTCGTAAAATTACGGCTCGCAGAAAAGATTTTCCGTTCTATTTTTCATCTCACTCTATTCATATTGCTAATAAACTGAGAACTCTGAACAATTTGAATTGTTTTAATCGCCAATATCTGTCTCAATTAGAGAATGATTTCTCAAACTCAGTTGAACTCGATAAAACTCTGCTGATTCAACGTTTTTCGCCGAATTCTTCCAAGCATGCTTTTATGTTTCTGGACCAATTTAAATCAACTCAACCTGTCCCTACTAAACTTTTTTGGGGACTCAAACAGGTCGAGAGCGATGTTTTAATTAGTGAGACTTTCAATCAATATTTCGCTTCTGTTTATCAAGTATCTGAAAAGAGTCCTTCTGCTGGTGGTAGTTTGGCTGATTCGGAAATCAAACTTTCCGAAGTTGATGTCTCCCCCAGTATTGTTGGCGAGCTCCTGGCTAAATGCAAAGAGACTCGTTCTACAGATAATATACCTGCATTCATTTATAAATCCTGTCACAGCATTCTTTCTCCGCTTGTTTCTTTCCTTTTCTTATCCATTATACAATCTTGTGTTTGGCCCGATTCCTGGAAAACTGCACTCATCACTCCTGTTTTCAATTCTGGTTCTCCTTATGATATTACTAATTATCGGCCAGTTAGCATACTTCCTCCTCTTTCACTCATCTTCGAGCGTATTTTGTTCAATTATATTTACCCTCGAGTCCGATACAAAATTTCGAATGCTCAGCATGGATTCCGCAAGAAGCGTTCCACCATAACGCAAATGCTCTCATATCTAGATGAAGTATATCACACTCATGATGCCAAAATTCCTTGCGCTGCCATGTATTTCGATTTTAGCAAAGCTTTCGCTTCTGTCAGGCACGACATTCTTGTACAGAAGTTTGCTGCTTTTGGTTTTGACGATATTTTTACCGCTCTTTTGATTTCTTATCTTTCAAACCGTTTTCAATGTGTTAAAGTTCGAACAAGCATTTCCACCACTTTACCAGTTACTAGTGGTGCACCTCAAGGGAGCGTACTGGGTCCTCTGCTTTTCATATTGTTTATTAACGATCTTCCTGATATATTTAATCATTCAAACTGTTTTCTTTTCGCTGATGACTCAAAATTCATTTGTAAGACAAATTGCAGTGATTTACAGTCTGATGTGGACAGTTTCACTCATTGGTGTACTCAGAATGGTCTTAAAATCAATAAAGACAAGTGCAATTTCATTATATTCAATGGCAAATTTCCTGATTGTATTTTTGTTAACAACAAACCTGTTCATTCTATTAATTTACTCAAAGACCTTGGTCTGCTTGTTAGCTCTGATCTTACTTGGTCAAACCATATTAGTAAAAAACTTCTATCGAGCAATAAAAGCTTTCATTTTATCAAACGTTCTATTCCATATCACATTCCACTTTCTGTTAAACTCATGTTCATCAATACTTGTGTTAAAAGTATTTTATTGTATGCTAGTCCTGTGTGGTCTCCCTCTTTAACTATGTTAAGGAAGCTTGAGAATTTCAACAGGAAATGTCTTACCTGGGTTACAGGTCATTTACCCTATTTAAAGCAACTTTCTTTAACGAATTGGCTTCCCATATCCTTCACGCTTATATTTAACGACCTTATCCTTTTCCACAAAATGTTAAATGGCGACTCAGAACTCCCTTTTGCTGCGTATTATTATTTTAAGATGACGACATCAAGATCCAGCACGTTGATGACAGTGAAACCCGCAAGAAGATGGTCAACCGAGACGTTCTTCACCCACAGAACAGCACGTGCCGTGAACTACATGCTGAAAACAACGGAGATCGACTTTTTCACCTCTTTGCGCCGTTTTCGCAGTACCCTCAAAGACTTCTTACTAGAGCGCTCTAAACTCTTCAATCGTGAAAACTCATGCACTTGGTTTTTGAAGTGCCGTTGCTTTTTCTGTAGATCCTAGTTTTGTTCATCTATTTATATAAATTATGCCTTATTTTTAATAAGGGAATTAATTTTTTTTTTTTTATCTACTCAGAGAAATGAGATCACTGTTACTGAGAACTCCCAGTCTGGAGACACTGAAGCATTAACTGCACCTAACACCACAACTGTTCAAGCTGCAACTACAAATACCGAGGACTGCAACGTTCTAATCCTCGGGGTTACTGAGCCCAAGGGCAATATTTCAACTCGTTCATGCAAAGACAAAAAAAATTGACGAACTTTTTGATAAACTTGGATTATTCTATTGCTAATTTTCATCAAAGAGGAAAATTTTGCGAAGAAGCGACAACGCCCCACCCACTAGTTGTGACTTTTGGCCATTCATGGCAAGCTTGTAATTAAGTTATTTTGTCATTTATTGTTCCGAGTACTCAAGCGGCGTTCGCCATCTGTATTGCCAGGGAGATTCTCTATTTTAAAAAGCTGCCTGCTCTGGGTTCCTCAGTGCATATGCTTAGGTTCTTACACAGCTTGCTCAAAAAAAATTTCTGTGCTGGGGCCGGCCGCTCCCTGAATTTCAAGAGCTAGCGGTTGGAAAAGATATCCATCATCTATAAGATATTTATACTAGTCATTTTTCGCTCTTCCGCTTTAGCGGCAGCCGTACCAGGGTTACAAACAGACCCGGCATTATTCCTAATAGGAGCGAAGGAGTCTACTAACGTTGCATCCCACAAGAGTTGCTTACCAACAGCCCATGGAACGAGCGTCAAACCGTCTGGTCGCTTCTGATCAGTCCTGTAGAGGTGTCGTGGTTCTAAAACAGACGGAATGTGAGTCGAAGATTAGATAAACTCTGCTTTATAAGGGCATTCAGATTTGAATGCCTAGAAAATCTATTGCACTTTTGAGGCAAGAAAGATCATGCCAACCATCTTCGGTAAAGTCTTTTCCGCACACGCATTCAAGCCGTTCGCTTCTTATTGAGCCTAATCGAAGTCCTATCGCAATTCTGAGTTGTTGGTTCGACAGTTTTAACCTTAAATTTTTGCACGGGATGACGTTCAACCAATGGGAGCCGAATCTATCTTGGAACGCGTTGAATCTTTTTACGTCCGTTGGTTTCAGTCGTAAAATCAAGTCTGCAATTTCACTGTCAAAAATTGGCTCTGTCCAATTTTTCTGGATTTCTTTTTCGAGACAATTCAATTTCTCTAAGTTCAAACCACCGTTTAAGCGCATCATCATAGGTTCCGTCCACATGCTCCAAACCAAAGATTTCGCTCAAGGCATCTTTCGCTCCTACTGCTGAGGCTAAAAAAAGTGAGTAAAGCGAGTAGACGAGCGGAAGAATCGCCCTAGCCACCTTTGTCTGCCGGAAGAACTGCTTGTAGAAACTGGTTATAATCCATTTTAACGTTAGTGACCTTGCATAACGAATTTCTTAGTAATTTGTCGTAGCGTTCCAAAAAATCATTTTGCAAAAACCAAGGGCTCGTACGCAAAAAAAAGGAGTTTTGGCATGCTAAAGCAATTTTTCAGGAGGTGAAAACCATTATAGGCGTCTAGTTTGTCAATGACATCCGAGATTTTTTCCAGCTCATCAATTTTTTCGTCGAGCAATTCTTTTCGGCAAAGTTCGCCTATTGGAGATCCTAAAATGAGGAGTTCTTCTTTTGTTTTTATGTTTGTTTTGGGGCATATTTTTCCAAATTTTGTTAAAATTGAATTTTACTGTGTACTAATAGTCGGTCCCAAAAAACAAAGTTCGCACTTCTCATTGTTCAAACTGAGGCCGTAAATTTGTTCCAATATCAGAATTTTGTTAAAGTCCCGGAGTACTACATTATAGTCGTCGGCTAAATTACCATCATCTAAATATCAGATGTTAATTTTCGACTCCAGCTGTATGAGTAGTGTATGAATTGTTTCCGCAAAAAGGGTTGAGGCTTCAGGATCACCTTGCTGAGTTCCGTCTTCTGACATTATGACAGAGCTTCCGTAAAAAGGTAACAAGATTTACCATACGCGCAATGGGTGTAATTATACAATTCGGGGCGATTTGAATAAACATGCATTGTTTCTCTATTCAGAGAGTTAAAGGCATTCTTAAAATCTAGTTTTTAAAGAAAATTGCATTTTGGATTGTCGTCGCGATCAATTAGGTTTCAAAACGAGTGTGCAGCTATTTCTGCTCCTCGTTTGGTGCCGCATCCTACCTGTACATTTCCGAAAAAAATTTGTCGTTCGGCAATCGGTCTCAACCCTCCGTCTATCTTTATGAGGGCGATAAGCTTTGCGCCAAAAAAGAAAGGTCTTAGGGTTCGGGTATTTTGCCATCTCCAATGAGGTTTATCAGCTTAGTGAGAAATTTCTAAAAAATAAGTCGTGCACTGCCAATCGACTTAATAACAAGATCTTTAAAAATTTGAGGAACTATTTTATCAGAACCTGCTGATGATCCGTTCGGAAAGGACATTTTTGCTTTGTATAGGTCGAAATCGGTTAGGAAAAAACTATCCAAATTTTCTGGACTTGGCGCCGCAAATTTGGCTCGCTGAGGGTGCTTAGCCAACAATTTTTGATAGTTATCAGTTGAAAAAGGAGCAATTTTGTCATCCAAAGCAGCAAGCCTTGTTCCTCCCTTTACATTTCCTTCATCGAGATTACTAATTATTAGCTTTATTCTCTGCTCGAGGTCACTCAGAGGCGGGTTCGAAACTTGGGGATGGGGTTTTGGAAGTGACACGTCATTTGCTCTAACTTTTTTATTTATCAAAGAGCTCATGCTTGTGGTCTGTTTGCGTCCACTTCTTTTTGGTTGCTCCAAAAAACAACAAGGACGTTAAAAAATCAGCCATTTTGTAACAACTTCTACATTGTAGACAATGTCATTTATTTTGTCCGACAGACTCTTCGCCAAGAGAACACGCGAGTCTTTTGGTACTCTCTTGAGTACTCGGACATTTGAGATGACTGTAATAACATAACTGTCATGCACTGAATCTTTACCTATTGTTGCTTTATTAACAGATTTTACACCAACGCATTTAGGACACTGAAACCATTGGGTTTTCTTTTAGAGTTGCTAAGAGAAATATTCACACAACTGATATGATACCAACTAGAATAACAATGATATTTAATCCAATTTATTAGTCCTGAATGTTTTAAGGAATCTTTGCTTGTACACTCTTTATTGGTTTTCCTCATCTTGACGCAGCATAAAGGTTAAAAAAAGGATTTTGACTGGACTTTTGGGGACTGAACTAACCCATGACAAGCGATTAGTGGGAATTTTATAAATCAGCAAATAAAAAAAAATAAAAGACAATTAAATTAATTTAAATTTTAAAATCGAAATATAAAAATCAAAAACAAGGAACAATCTCACCCGAGCTCAGTAGGTCCAGCGGTGCACCACCCGACTCTTCGAGCCAATTCCAGTTTCCCACTTCCCAACAGAAAGCCACTTGACAGACCTGTCTCTAAATTCCCTCGGAGGGCGCTCCACAAACGGGCACAAACATCAAACAAAACAAATCTATTTAATCTGTTTATCACAACAATTAGGCTAATAGAAATTGATTTGTTCTGTTTGATGTTTGAGCCTGTTTTTGGCGCGCCTTCTGAAGGATTTTATAACAAATCTATTTAATAAGACTTTGCGATAGGACTTTCTTTACCTTTCTTTACCGTTAGGAATTGGTCAGTTGTGGCATCGATGAAACTTTATTAAAGGTCTTAGCTCTCAAACTATTTTACAAGAACTCGGAACTCAACATCAATTTGTCTAATGATGAACTGCAAAACTCATTTCGTGCATTGAACCAATGACTACCATGCGCTTCTGATGGTTATTTCAAAGCGTTGCTGTTCACCGAACTTTCACTGAGAAACAAACCTCAAATAAATCAGTCATAAGGAGAGATTTGAGAAAAAACTGAAATATTTATTACAGTCAGAACGATTTAGTGAGAGGAAGAATCTGACAGACAGCGTGATTTTGAAAATTGAAAGAGACATAAGCAAAGAATTACTCGCCATGAAAAAGAAGGACGAGATTAGCGATGCATTGTATACTAGGTTGAGATCAACGGGAGCGCAGCCGGTTAGGCTGTATGGATTAGCAAAAGTACACAACTAAGGCACACCACCTTGTCCCGTCCTTTCTTTATCTGAAAGCTCATATGACAACCTAAATAAAACATTGGCAAAGTACTTTGATGAAATTGAGGGGGCAAACATAGAAACGAACACTCAAATGGCCAGGGAGATATTGCAGAGAACTGAGTTGGACTCTGACGAGAGTATAATCTCCCTTGATGTAAAGAGTTTGTTCATTGTAGATGATGTCATTTGTTTTGTCCGACAGACTCTCCGCCAAGTGAACACGCGAGTCTTTTGGTACTCTCTTGAGTACTCGGACATTTGAGATGGCTGTAATAACATAATTGTCTTGCACTAAATCATTACCTATTGTTGCTTTAATAACAGAATTTACACCAACGCATAAAAGACACTGAAACCATTGGGTTTTTTTAGAGTTGCTAAGAGAAATATTTACACAACTGATATGATACCAACTAGAATAACAATCACATTTAATCCAATTTATCAGTCCTGCATGTTTTAAGGAATCTTTGCTTGTACACTATTTGTTGGTTTTCCTCATCTTGACGCAGCATAAAGGTTAAAAAAAGGATTTTGACTGGACTTTAGGGGACTGAACTAACCCATGATAAGCGATTAGTAGGAATTTTATAAGTCAGCAAATTAAAAAAAAATAAAAGACAATTAAATTATTTTAAATTTCAAAATCGAAATACAAAAATCAAAAACAAGGAACAATCTCACCCGAGCTCAGTAGGTCCAGCGGTGCACCACCAGACTCTTCGAGCCAATTCCAGTTTCCCACTTCCCCACAAAAAGCCACTTGACAGACCTGTCTCTAAATTCCCTCAGAGGGCCCTCCACAAACGGGTACAAACATCAAACAAAACGATTTAGTGTCCGAGTACTCACGAGAGTACCAAAATACTCGCGTGTTCTCTTGGCGGAGAGTCTGTCGGACAAAATAAATGACATCGTCTACGGTGTACAAACTCTTTACATCAAGGGAAAATATACTCTCGTCAGAGTCCAACTCAGTTTTCTCCAAGATCTCCCTGGCCATTTGAGTGTTCGTTTCTATGTTTGCCCCCTCAATTTCATCAAAGTACTTTGCCAATGTACAGGCAGAACGATTTAGTGAGAGGAAGAATCTGACAGACAGCGTGATTTTGAAAATTGAAAAAGACATAAGCAAAGAAATTACTCGCCATGAAAAAGAACGACGAGATTAGCGAAGCGCTGTATACTAGGTTGAAATCAACGGGAGCGCAGCCGGCTAGGCTGTACGGATTAGCAAAAGTACACAACTAAGGCACACCACCTTGTCCCGTCCTTTTTTTTTATCTGAAAGCTCATATGACAACCTAAATAAAACATTGGCAAAGTACTTTGATGAAATTGAGTGGGCAAACATAGAAACGAACTCTCAAATGGCCAGGGAGATCTTGGAGAAAACTGAGTTGGACTCTGGCGAGAGTATAATCTCCCTTGATGTAAAGAGTTTGTACACTAAGGTCCCGCTCAAGGAAGCGGTTGAAATAGCCCTGCGGAGATTATATGAGCAAGTCAACCCTCCGGAAACATCTCGCAAGACTATGAAAAAAATACTGAATTTGGCAGTGAGTAAGGTACACTTTAAATGCAATGGTTTGTGGTATGTACAAAAAGACGGTTTAGCAATGGGCGCCTCCCTTGCAGTAATTTTGGCCAAATTGTTGCTCAAAGAACACGAACCTGCATCAAAGAAAGGAGTACCGAAATTGAGTGTGCTAAATGAGGGTAAGAAGGAAGTGTGCCCTAGATGTCAGAAAAAGGTGAAATATTGGACAAAAGGGGTAAAATGCGAAGATTTTTTGAATTGGTACCACTTAAGGTGTGGTAACATATCGGAATCCGAATACGCAGACATCGCTGAAACATTATGGTATTGAATGACTTGCAAAAAACAACAGGAAGCAGATCGGACTGTGAATGTTGTTAAAGTTTTTCTAAGATATGTGGACGACATAGTTAGAACGGTCAAGGGTAGTCCTGGGATAGTTCTCGAGGCTGCCAATAAGTTGCATCCAACCTTGCATTTCACCATAGAAGAACATGATAGTAACGGTAATTTGACCTTTTTGGACTTAAATGTCAACGTGGATTCAGGAAAAAAGGTCACATGAGGTTGGTACCAAAAAACCACTGATACCGGCACCACATTCTAAATTTCAGAGGCTGCACAACTTTGCTGTACATAAAAATGTTATTGAAGGGACGGTTAATAGGGTTTTCAGAAGTACCTCAAAATGGGAAGAGTTTGATCAGGCATTGGAAAAAAATCGGAAGCAATGGATTGAAAATCATTATCCGAAAAATTGGTCTGACAGGGTAGTGTTTGAAACTCTTAACAAGATCATTGAGGGGGGAAAAATTTAGAGGTGAAGGCATCAGAACCGAGAAATGATAAATGGTTGAAAGACTCACCCCCCCCCTCTCTTACAATACAATATCGAGGCAATCCATTTCAACTGTTAGCTGCAAAGGTTCGGCAAATATCCGGGGAACAAAAAAATTTTACAGCAAGAAAAGTGAAAACATGCTTGCCATCCCTGAAAACTTCCTTTGCTCGTGAACTGAGATCCAAAGTGGTGTACAAGCTTACATGTAGTGGATGTAACTCCACCTATGTCGGCCAGACAGTCCGACATTTAGCCACGAGGGTTGAAGAACACCGCAAAGGGGACTCTCCAGTAGGGCAACACTTGTTAGAATAAAATAAGGATGTAGGCGGTACTGCTGAGCTGAAGTCAGAGATTATAGACCAAACAGCCAACACTCATAAGCTACTGACACGATACGCTTTGCATATTTGGAGGGAGAGGCCAAAAATCAACACACGCGATGAATTCAGGAGCCGGGAATTAACACTAAAATTATAGTCAATGTATAACATGGCTAAAAGTTAAAAAACTGACATGTCAAAATCGACAACATTCCCAAATCGAAACTTTATAACCATGTAAGAACAAAAAACTAAAAAAACTCTGAAATTTACAGGAAAATGTTATTCACGATTAGGTAATTATATTATGTAATTACACTTGTTTAAATTTGATTGGTTAAAAAGTTTTAGAGCCTTTTTAGACATGCTTCTCATTTTTGAGATCTTTGATTGTTTTGTAAATATTGTGAAAAATTATAATCCTGATGTGCGAAAACGTTTGAATTAACATTTTAATTTTCTTATATGAAATCGACATTGCTATAATCTCAGTGTCATGGGTTGTTTCAATCGCTACTGACGACTAATTTTTCGTTCAATGTTGTCCACCTGGTTATTCATACTTCAGTTTTCCAAGGTCGCATACACGTGGCGGTGACCTATGTATAACTATGCGTACCACACTAAGTATTCAGATAATATAGTCTAGTGATTCTTTACACATGGACAATGTTATGTTTTCAACCACTGTGAATGATTGTAAAGTTTGATGGCTTTTTGTTTATCGACCCCTGCTGCTGATTTTTGTTTTGATGGAAATAATCTCAAAATTTTTTTCTGAGCTTCATCTAACGTATCAAAAATTTGTACTTCTCGGAGATTTCAGCATTCAAACTGACGATACCAGTTGTAACAAATATGTCCAGTTTTAGTCTCTCATTGACGAGTTTGAGTTGAAACAACATGTTAACTTCCTGACACACAAAAGTGGGCAAACACTTGATCTAGTCTTATTGAATCAATCGCTGAATTTAGTTGATTTTCTACGTGATCATTCCATTCCTTCAGATCATTCTGCAAAACCCTTGAAAGTTGCTTGTTCCTATCGAAAGTGTTTTAGAAAAACTATTAAATTTCGCAAAAGGGCATCTATTAGTGCTGATGAGTTTCCTGTTCTCAAACTGTTCAAGACCCGAAATTGAAAATGTTGACAGTGGCACTGAAGCAATGAATTATGTGTTCGAAAAAGCACTTGACAAGTATGTTCCCAATGAAACTCTAGATGTCGTTCCTCATGATTGTGCCTACTATGTAACAGTCGCAAATTCACAAATAAGATTAATTAAAATAGGCCCTGTAACCATTGGCTCATGAGTCAAGGACACTATCTTTTGTGTTTATCTACCTCAAGCGGTCGGAGCCAATTCGGTTCATTTTCGACATGAGACTACCTACCGTGTTGCAGCTTAAAAGCTACTACCAAAAAACACCCACTCTAGAAGTATGTCACCCTCATGATCAGGTCTCAAAATACCCAAAAACACGCGAACGCCGTTAAAAACAGGGTCGGAACCTTAAGTATACCGTTAACGTTTATTGGACAGTGGACCTTTGATCCATTTCAGATCGATCAACCTAAAAACTCACCTTAACTCATCAAAACAACATAGAACGCACAAGAAAATTAAATTGAGCACTCACATACCGACACGACCTTTAGAATTGAGTAACTAAATTGTAAAGCAACTCTAGAATTGATTTAGGGTAATTAAAAATAACTCAAGTTTGTAAGGGATAAGTTTTAACTCAAGCAATAAGTTTTCTGTTTGGACAATTGGG